GTTAAAGAAACATATTTTTACCCATTAGCGTCACAAAAAAATCTTATATGTTCAAAAATACCTACCTATTATGATAATTATCATTTTTCCAGGGAACATCTTCATTGAATTTATAATATAATATCTTTACAATATAAATTATATTATAACTCTTTTGTGTCCAAAAATTTCAAAAATCTTAAAAAATAACGCATATGACAATTGTCGCATTAAAAAAAGTTTGACATAAATATTAATAAAAAAATAATTTAGAAAAACCACCTCTTTTAATATACTTAAAATATAGATATATTTATAAAAAAAATTATTTAGAAAAAGAAAAACCAGTATATATTCTTAAAATATAGATATATTAATAAAAAAATTATTTAGAAAAACCACCTCTTATAATAAAATAAACTTAAAATATAGATATATTTATAAAAATAATATAAAAAAACTATAGAAGATTTGACCTAAAAGATTATTTATTTATGATAAAATTAACAAAAGTATTTCTTAAAAAAGTTAAAAATTTATTAAAAAAATCAACAAAATATGTTTCAATATTTTTGTTCAAAAATTATTTTTTGCTTAAAATTTTTAGCTCGAAAATATGAATTTTTTTTTATTTAAAAAAAATCAAATAAATAAATCCATTTTTATTATAAGATCAAAACATATTTGAAATAAAATTTAAAAAAATTTTTTGTATGCTAATAATAAAATATTAACATTAAATATAAATAAAATAAATTATTTCACTAAAAATAAATAAATAAAATTCTACATTATTATTTAAAATATCTAATAACATAAAAATAAATTTTGACTCTAAATTTAAATTAAACTCAAGCTAACCTCTGAGTCCACTAAGTGAGCCGACTAAGTGAGCCGACTAAGTGAGCCGACTAAGCGAGCCGACTAAGTGAGCCGACTAAGCGAGCCGACTAAGTGAGCCGACTAAGCGAGCCGACTAAGTGAGCCGACTAAGCGAGCCGACTAAGCGAGCCGACTAAGCGAGCCGACTAAGCGAGCCGACTAAGTGAGCCGACAAAGCGAGCCGACTAAGTGAGCCAACTAAGCGAGCCGACTAAGCGAGCCGACTAAGTGAGCCGACTAAATGAGTCGACTAATGCGGCTCATTTAGTCGACTCGAGTCTGAGCCGTTTTATCGACTAGAAACTAGGCTCGAGTCGTAGCTAAGTCGACTCGGCTTAGCCGTTTAACAACACTATTTCTAATGTTGGTGATCTCAAAAAATTAGTTATATAATTATATTATGATTATTTTCGTCGGAAATAACATAAAAAATGTTCTCATTTTATTAGGTGATTATTTTTAATGCTGAGATTGACACAGTCGATTTACAAATTAACATATCTTTAATTATATTAAATAGAACTTTATGTAACAGGAAATCTGGCATAAACTGATTCTTTTATTTTTTAGGCTTGCCTGGATTACCTATAATTTACACAGATAAGTGTATTCGTTTTCATTACCTTATAAGGTATCCATGAAAGAATTTGAAATCATTTAAAAATATCAGGAGCTTGTTTTATAATTTAATTTTCTCTTTGTTTTGCCTTTATATATAAAATTTAAATCTTATTTATGATTGCGAATAAGATATGATCATTTCGATTTCAAGTTTTACGTGAATGAATGTGGGAGAGATTAAAATATTTGCATAAATTTAATTTTTAAAATATATCCAATTTATTTATTTAATTTATAAAAAATAAATTATATTGATCATTTTAAAATGTTAATAAAATTTTTTTTAAAGTAGCTAATTTAAGCTATAAATACTCGATAAAAGTAGCTGCACTATTAATAGTTACTACTTTTTTTATAAAAGGTAAAAGTAGCATCACTACCAATTACTACTTAAAAAATATTATCACGCTACTTTTAATAGCAACTTTAACAGCATTGGTAATCAGTTAATAAACATTAGATTTATTTTTTAAATTGGAGGCCATTGCCCTTCTGAAGTATTAAATTTACATTTCATAATCACATAAGATTACGAGTATGTCAAAACTTTAAATTTTTTATTTTTTTTCCCCCTTAACTATCATTTAGTTAAATGTTTTATTCGAAAGAGATAAAGATTTTTTTTTGATTTTTTAACTTATTCACAGGTAATGTAAGAGCCATCGGGCTCAAAGTTTGTTTCTGTTCTAACTGTAACCAATATGTTATTCATTTCAATTTTTTGGGGATTAAAGGGGTCTATCGAAAATCTCCCTTGTATGTTGATTAAACATGGAATAAATTACCCAAGCGTACTTTTTCAGTGAGCATTTTTTTCTGTAATCCTAAATGTTTAAAGCATTGCAAGCTCATCTCAATGCCTAATGGAAAAAGGTGTACGTTAAATTGTGATGATGATAGACTTTTTTATTTAAAATTATTCTATTTCATTTATCTGTCTTGTGTAAAATTTTTTAAAAAAATTTTCAATTGATGGCAAGATTATTTCGCGCTCACGATCTTCTTTTTTTGATTGGAATTTCGACCCGGGATATTTGCCAAGATTACAATCTTCGGTATTTTTATTTATTCAAAATATATAAATCTGTATAAAAACCGAACCGAATAAAACATTTAAATCAAAATAACAAATATAATTTATTTTTTTTAAAAAAACTATATATAAATAATAAAATATATTGAGATTAAAAAAAAGAACCAAAAAATTAGATTGGATCTATTGCCTATTGGTTCAAATGAGTTAAAGGTGTATGAATTTGTGAGATTAGTATCAAGTTTCTGTCAGAATGTCGTTGACCCTGGCTATATATGCAGTTTAACCCGTGTCTACCTTTGGAATCTAAAGTACATTTCATTTCAAGCAAGAATGAGTTGAATAATGTTAAACCCTAGACGAAAACCAATGGCACCTCTCAATTGTTTATTTGATAAGAGTTTGCCAAGATTATGACTAAGGAACGCTTCCAACCATTCATTTGCTATTTTGTATAGGCTCTGTAAAAGTTAAACAGTTTCCAAAGATGTGTTCATTAATAACTGTTTAAAATTTTTGGATTAAAGGCAAGAAGTTTTTATGGGTTATGATTGAAATATGGTATTGAAAGGGATCTTGCTTAATTTTTCAATGTATTATTTCTAATTTTATAACCAAATGCAGGAAAAAACAAAATTAAAACTGTTATTTCTTATATTTGTAATCTTTTACATCAAATCTTATTTCAAATATTAGTCCAAACATTAAATATTATAAGTATTTGAGGGGAATTTGTAGTCAGCGAAATCTGCTGATTTATATAACAATTGAAATTCAGAAAAATATTTATTAATAAATATTAATCTAACTGCCCTAGCCATCTCATATAAACCGATTATAGTGCCCACAGTGGCGTAGAAAAGGGGAGGTTGAACCCCCCCTCCCCTTATAACCTCCGAAATTTTTTTTAAAATTTTTTTCTTATTGCGAATAATTTTATTTAAAAAATGGTTACAATTTATAAATAAAATTATATACGATATGAAAATGAAATATATTTTAAAAAACAAATAAGTATTTTCAATTTTAAATGATAACATGGTTTAAAAATATATATTAAAAATATTAAATAACAATAAAAATATATTGTAAATTTTTTCTCGCATAGTAAAATTTATATTGTTAAACTAATTAGATAGTTTAAAAATTTTAATTAATTTTTTATAATTTTTAAATACAAGAAAAATCATTTAATTTGGTAAATATAATGAGAAAGTAAAGGTGATCGCTAATGTTTAGGATTAAAAATTTTAAACCTAAAGTAGTTTCTAGATAGTCCAATCGCTTAAATATTGATGCATCTACGATTGAGGATTTTTATAAAATAAATATTTTTACTTCCCTTATTGATACATTTTTATTTCAATTAAAGGAAAGATTTATTAGTCATAATTTTATTTTAAACAGCTTTTATTTTCTTTTGGCGGTTGAGTCTAAATACACTTGAAACGCGAGAGGATATAAAGAAAATCTCAGAGTTTTATTCTGATGAATTATCAGGATCGTATGATAAGTTACTTTGTGATGTCGAATTTTGGTATAAAAATTTTGAAGAGTACTCTTTGAGACCAAAATATGCTTTGCACTTTCCATGTATAATTGCACTTTAGATTCCCTGCCTAATTACCTTACAGATTAGCACCTGCACTAATGAAAGGTCATTTTCAACTTTGAAAAGGTTAAAAACCTATTTAAGAAATAGCACCGGTGAAAGCCGTATAAATGGATTCGCAATATTAAATATTTATAAGGAGATTATTCTAGATAAAAATTTGATTCTAGATGAATTAGTCAAATCTCAGAGAAAAGTAGACCTTTCTTTCTTTATAAATACAAATTATAATATTGATATATTATTATAATATGATCTTAGTCATAAAATTTTTATATTCAAAACGTATATAATGAATTCTTAGTCATAATATTTATATATTATACTATTTTTAATAAAAATATTGCATTTGAACTAAGAATTAGTGATCTGCATCGGGCCTAATTTTTTAAGCCCGGCCCTGCCCGAAATTATTTTAAAAAAGTTTTGCCGGCCCGAGCCCGAAATTTATTTAAAAAGTTTTGTCGGCCTGGCCCAAATTTATTTAAATATAGAAATCCATTTTTATAATTACTCAAAATAAAAGATATATATTATATGGCGTCTAGTTTTTATAAATAAAATCAAATATTTTTATTTTATATAAAAAATTTAACATAAAACTGATATATTTAGATATATTTAAAAAAAATTTCCAGGCCCGGCCCAACCCGGCCAGAATTTTTTTTAAAAATATTAGGCCCGACTCAGCCCGAATTCGATTTTTCTACTGCGGATCACTAATAAGAATTATTTATGTTTTATTAATATACTCATTTGTATTAATTATATTATAATTGTTAAATTATATTTTTTTTAAATACCGCACAAAAATTACTAATCCTATTTTTTAAAAATATAGTTATTTAGAATAAATTTTTAATATAATCTGTATAAAATTAAAATTTTTATTAGTCAAATTGAACGTTAAAAGTAAAACAAATATACGTAATTTGTAAATATATTAAAAATATCATGTAAACTATTTGTAAAATAAAATCTATATAAAAACTGTATAATAAAAAAATTAGTATAATAAATTGTATGTTGGGTGGGAGGAGGTCAAAAAAGGGAGCCGTGGATGGCAATGTTAGATCTGCATATATCAATAGATATGCGCTGTCTGAGATAGAAGCCTTCCTGTGGGTCACCAGTGATGGCGCGAATTTTTTTACCAAGGGATTTGAAGAAGGTTAGGGCATGATTGCCAAAAAAAACCGGTTGTGTCGGATACGATTGGTATGAGATTGCCATTGGTTAGGGAAGTGTAATTATTTATTTTAGAGTTTTCCGCTCGCACGAATGAGTTGTTGTTAAACGAGAGAGCAAATCGGTCGATGCAAGTATAATCCCATGCTAATGGAGTTCCATTACTCCAAGGTATTAAGGAAGGGTTGCGGGAATTTGAGCTGAGCGTAGAGTACGGAGAATGGTACCGTTAACTGCATTGTGTCGAGAATGTCTACCTTTAGAGAATCAACAATGAAGAGGATGATGTCCGAAACAATCAACGGGTTGGGAACATAATGTACATGCGGAGTTAGCCAGTATTGGAGACCTATTGCTATGCGTAATTCTTCGTTTGTTAAGAGGAGTCCTAAGTTTGAGCTGGGCAAAGCTTCTAACCATTCATAGCCCGATAGGGAAGTCAAAAGTTGTGGAATTTGCAGTTGTGGGAGAGAAAGATGATCAACTGTTAAGGATTCATACAATTGACTAAACATTGATAAAATTTTCAGAATAATGCTTTCAGTCACGTATTAATCATAAATTTGGCCAAAATTTAGTTACTAATATTTTTTTCATTTATGCTGGCTACTATAGTGGTTAGACACCAATAAAGCACAAAATTGGCAAATTTTTAAAATGCGGTTAAGGAGCTAAGCCCCCCCCCCCAAATAATTAACCACCCCCAATGGATCAATCTTGGCTACGCCACTGAGTGCCCACATCACTTTTTTCAGTCATAATCTTAGTTGATAATTTTAGGATCATAATCTTTTCAGTATAATAGTGCAATAAAATAAAAGCTTCAAAAGATTTATTTTTAATCGTATATTAGAGCACTGCTATTTTGTGCAACCTATAATGCGAAGACCAATATTAATAAGGATTTCTGGAATTTCTAATTGATGCTCCTTATTAGCGGATCATTTAGGAAATTCGTCATTATTAGACTATCAACACAAAATATCCTTATAAATTTGCAAAAATAAAATCATAATTATTTTAAAAGAGTTAAGGAAATTTCTAGGATTTTCAATTAGACACTGACATAGTTTCATTAAACAAGTGCCTAATACTTAGATCAAAAGGTTAAAATATGAACCGATATACGTTTTATCAGATAAACTATATTTAACATACTAATAAACATGAACTCCAAATTCAATTTAAATATGCCAAAACTAATTGGCAAAGGCTATGATGGCAGTGTTGCCATGTCAGGCAAAGATGGTGGCGTGCAAAAGTACATATATAGGACATCTAAAGTTAATTTTGTCCATTGTGCTTCTTGTCTTTTTAATTTATTCATATGAACTAATAGTGTAACTGAAATATAAAACTATGAAACTGTTATGAAATTATCACACTTTTAAAAGAAAACAAAAAAATTATTTACTTAAGCCTTTGTTTTTTTTAATATGCATCCATTTAAAATTAAAAGTAAATTATCAACAAACAATGTTACATCAAATATCGCAATCTCTCCTAGAATAAAAATCTATCTAATTGAAGCGTAAGCTCATAGTTTATAGCAAATAGAATGGGGACTTTCTGTAACTTATTGATAATATGGTTGGATTTTGTCTTTGAAAAACATGGTAATGTTAAACTATGGCATACGAAGAACTAAGTAATTCTAGCCTTTCTAAGGCTTCAGTTTCTCGTTGATAGACTTTACCAGTTCCAATTGAAGACTTTTTATAGGCACTCATGTTTAATCATAAGATTCACATATCTAGTTCACTGTATTCTTTACGGTTTCTCTATCCCTCAGATTGGAATCATACCATAATACTTTATGATATAATCTACTCTTTATATTCCGATCCTCGTGGAAAAAATTTATATCCCTTTAATTCAGAGTTTGAATTGGAATCCTCGTAATCGAGTCAAATCTAAGAACTAGAACTCCTTTTTCAAATTTATGGGAACCGAAAACCTAAATAATTTATTTTAGTCCAGGTTTCAAACTCTGTCTTGGGTGTGCGCTTTGTGATATACACTAGCCTCAACTTCTCCCATCCCAGAAAAATGAAGCAATCTACCCTTCTCTTAAAACTCAGTGAATACTATATTCACTTATTCGAATTAATTGTGTTCCGCTTAACTAGAATAACAGAAATAAGACTCATTTTAAGTTTTATTGCTAAAAAAGTCGAAATATAATGAAATTGTGACAAATTTCGCCCTTTTATACCGTACTATAAATAAATAATACATAATTCTTCAAAATAAAATAAAACAGGACTCATCATTAGTCTACAAATAATATCAAAAGTCAAATTCATGCGCCGGTTTTACATCCAAATTATAAAACCCCGATTATAACAGACTGATATATCATGAATTTATCTATAAAATCTAATTCAATTACAGAATTATTATTTTATAAATTCAATTTCCCCCTTCTACTCTTACCATTATGTTCTAAAAATAAAAGAAATATTTGTTTATTAGCATTTAAATTGGAAATTAAATTATAAATTTGTGATATAAGAGAAAGATCAAGATTAAATTATTAGAATTGTTTGGTAAATTAGAAATTTATGCCAATATCCGAAAATTTAAAATAAGAATTAACTTTAAATTACTAAAATTAATTTATATTTAAAATTTTATAATAAAGTTGTTAAACAGCTCAATTTGAGTTGATTTTAAAAGGGCCTAACTCAATATTTTTCCAGAAAAAATAAATTAACCTGAAAATTTTGCTCATAGGTGACACTTGGACATCTCTTAGCGAAATCTCAAGGCTTAGACATAATTTTTCAGGCTAAAATAATGAGTTCGCCTTTTTTAAGAATTGGCTCAAATCGAGCCATTTAATAACACAAAACGAAAGTTTAATTCAATATTGCAAAACTTATTATCGAAATATTCAAATCTACATTTTTAGAAAATCAATTGCATAATTTTTTTCCTGAACAGTATATAATAAATTTTGAAGATGGTATCAAAAATAATGGGGACGGGTTATTTGGGCCAAGGTAAGTTGGTTAATTTTTTATTTTTAAATTATTATAAAATTATAAGATCTACATAATTTTTAATTAAATTATTAATATAATTCATATTATATTATGTTAATTAATTACCCTTCCCATCAATATTATTTTATTACTTTTTACTAGCCCCTTTACTAATATTACATAATATTTTTTTTTAGATTAAAATTTTTAACCTTCACGACCGATTAAGAAAAAAAAATAATGTTTTTCATTTACGGGTTATTTATTAAAAATAATTATTTATTTAATAATTTATTTTTCAAAAAAAAATTCTAGTCTAAAGCCTAAGAAAGATACTTAATTACATAAATATTATATATTTCATTTTAATAAATAATGGCCTTTTGGTTATATTTTTAAACAAATTTTTATTTTCAATTTTTTATAATATAAAAGGTACGAAAATTTTTTTTTATTTATATTATTTTTATATCATGCCTTTAAGGGTTTTTGGATATACCGTTGTTTTCTAAATATAGAGTGAGCCCTTAAAAACGTTTAATATACATAAACATTTGATTTTTTAAAAAAAAGGAAATTTAAATCACTTTTTTATATTAATTTGGTTTGATATCGGGTAATAAATATGTCAGGATCATTCCCAAAAGGAAACAAAAAATTTTATTTAAACGACGTGCCATGTTTAAATTCTATTGGTGGTATTCTCAATTATGGAGCCGAATTCTCGAATGACGTCAATATTATAAATAGGAATGGTGCCATCGATTCTAAAGAATATAACACTAAACCTTTCATATTTTCACAAGATATTAAGGATAAAGAAATTACATCAGATAACGGCAATCCGGTCAATGTGATAAAAATGCGCAAGGATATAGGCTTGTTAAGCGGGATAGCCATAAATGTAGGAATCATGATAGGTTCAGGAATATTCGTCAGTCCTACTACCGTATTAATAAATACTGGCTCAGTTGGGCTCGCTTTAATAGTTTGGGGCCTTTGTGGGATATTTTCATTCCTGGGGGCTCTCTGCTATGCAGAATTAGGTACCTCTTTTCCATCTTCTGGAGGTGAATATACATATATAATGTCAGCTTTCGGTTCAGTTCCAGCATTCCTATACGTTTGGATGTGTCTTCTAGTCCTTACTACTGCTGGTAAGGCAGCGAATGCGCTGACATTTTCACAATATGCTATAGATCCTATTTTGGTTTCTTGTGGTACTCCGCCCATGATTACAAAACTAGTGGCAGTTTGCCTGATAAGTAAATTATTTGTTTACAATAATTACTATTACATAGTATATAGTTTTTAAATGCTTTAATGCTTTTTAATTTACATTTTCCTTTTAAATTAATAATTATGTTACCCATTTTAAATATAACCTTAAAGCAGACGATAGTTACCCTGAGTTAAAGTATATTTAGTTATATAAGATTGGTAGCTTTTATAATTCAAGCGTAGCCAGAATTTTTCTACTAAGGAGGGGGGGGGGTACAATTTTGGTTTTCCATCAATATATTTTATTGGAGGTCTTTAGGTACACTTACTGTAGGTGTTTGGCTATGTTAGAATGTTATATAGTTTTTGTTTTTCACTTCTTTATAGAAAAAAAAATTAATTTACTTTCAAATTCTTGTTTATAGTGATATATTGCATACACCTTTTTGGAAATAGGGAAGGGGAGGGTGTAGGGGTTATTAGCTTAAGATAATATTTACTAGAACAGGCAAATTTTAAAAGTGGAGGGATACCCCCCCCCGCTAAGCCTATGATGACAATATATACTTTTTAATAAATTCAAATATTTTTACAAAATTTACTAAACCTATCTATTCATTAATAATTATATAATATAACTGTATAAACATGTAATGCGTTATGGATTATCTATAAATCTATTAGTAATGAATCGATTGCTATGCCCTATCATTTTCTAATATGGTAGTAATGCCTACTCTTACTGTGAATCGAAGACTATCTTTAAAGTTTGATTAGAAGCTATAGAATATAGTTTAATTTTGTACTTTCATAGTTTTTGAAATCTTCATTTGTGTCAAGAAGAGAGTATACCCCCTCCATTAATATTGTAGAGTTCTTTATTAAGACCTTGTTAAATAAACTAACATTCTTCGAATCCAATCCATTTACTAAATAATTTGATCTTAAAATTTGATAGCAATCAAGCTAAAATAAGTATAATTTTTTTTAAAATTAAAAAAGCCATTCAATTTATTATAATTATTGATTTAAAGGTTTCCTGGTATACATAAATTGTCGCAAGGTTAAATTGGCCACAAGAATCCAAAAATTTTTTACAATTTGCAAGCTATTCGCCCTACTCGTGATTATAATAGTAGGTGGTTACGAATTATATAAAGGTAATTTTTTTTAAAATCTCATATTATATTTAAATTCAGCTTGATATATAACTATTATAGTTTTAGGTGGAGGAGAAGGGGAAGGAGAGCCAGTTAACTATTAAAGAAAGGAGGCTTCCAGTCCATCTACCATGAAGAGTATCGACGTTACATTAGATCTAAACCCACCTTACTTTTTTAATGAAAGTTAGGCTAGAATTTTTCAGTTTCCCCACTATAACATAGATATTTTCCCTTCTAGGTGTTTTAACTCGGAACGATATTATACATATGAACAAGGAACCTAATACTTTTGAACACTAAGAATAAATTACAAAAAATCATATACAGTAAAAACCCGATTTAACGTTTCTCAATGGAAAATTTCAAATTAAAGCAAGGAATACGTTAAACTACGGCTTTTTTTAATCACAAAGTGTCCAATGCGATTTGGTTTGAAATAGGCACTATGATTAAAAAAAAAATAGATTATCTTACATTTTCAGCACTAGTTTCTAAAACGGTATAAAAGCGGAGAAAATACGGGTACGTTAAACCGGGGTTTTACGGTTTTTCTAAAGAAAAAATTATATTGTACTAAAATATTGCAAAAAATTTTTAATATTTTTCAAAACAATTTTTTTTTATAAAATAGTTTCACTCGCCAATATAAATTAAACAGTTAAATTCGTAAATTATTATGACTAAATAATTATTTCTTTAGAGATATTAAATTTTAATTAAAAAAATTAAACAAAATACGTTTTAAATATAAATATAAAGTTCTTTACTGCATCTATTGTATAAATTGATGTAGGCTTTGTTCTTGTCCTTGGAAGTTGTTGTTTCAACGTGTTGGCAATATGCCAGCATGTGTTCATATTATTTTATATTTTAAAAATATAAGTCCTTATAGAATAATTTAAAAAATAATAACATTGTAAAAAAAAAAGATTATTAGCATTTTGTGGACATCTGTGGAAATCATAACCTCCGTAAAGTGACCGCTTTAGTAAAATATCAAGTTGTTGAGTAGGCTTATTCAAAAACGAATCGAATAGCAATGAATAAAAATAGTAAATTATTCAGTGACGTCGCTAGCTTTTTTAACTTAATGGGACTCCCCTTTTGGAAATACTTAAATTAGTGAATAGAAAAGGTATCCCACCAAAAAATAAATTTTATCAAAAATTAGCAAAAAATTTTTAGAAAGCCTCTAATTTTTTGAGGGCTTTCGCCCTTATGCAACCCCTTCCCTGAGACGCTACTGGATTATTTATTTTGTTCGAATACTAATAAATAATTATTCGATTCTAATAAAACGAATTTTTCAATAATTTTTTAAAAATTTATAAAATTATTGAATAATTTAATTAAAATATTTCAACGAAATTTGATTACATAATTATTTCTAAATAGCGTAATTATATAATGATCTGATCAATTAAATGAACTTTGGTGACTAAGTGGTCAAAATGTAATACAGTAACGTATAGTAAATTTCTGCTTGAATCATTGCGCATTATAAAATATAAAGGAAAAACAACATCTCTTTTCAATCATTATAATAGGTTCCATTTCATTCATACTCTAATAAAAAGGGTTACAGTAAAACGATTTTTTTAGAACCTAAATCATCGACTTTTATTTGTTGAAAAAACTCATTTTAAAGAAAGCTAAGTTAAAGTAAAACTTTTTATAAATAATAGTATATATTAGAGATCTGTAAATCACGGCCGGGTCTATTTAAAAAATAATAATTTTAGTTTGGGCTAGGTCGGGCCTAATACCTTTTAAAAAATTTCTGGCCGGGATGGGGGCAGGTTTTTAATATAATATCATTACATCAAATAAATTGATATATTATTCTTGCAAGAAACAAGGCGCTAATAATTTTTATTTGTATAATATCTACAGTCAAAAAAAATTAAATATTTATATATTTAAATAATTTTGGGCGAGGGGGGGTGGGTAAATAGTTTTTATTTTTATTTCGGTCGGGGTTTTCGGGGCAAATAAAAAAAATTTGTTCGGGATAAGGCTTGGCAGGACAAATTTTGACAAAATTTCGAGCTAGGCTGGGCTTGAAAAATTTTGCCCGATGCATATCACTAGTATATAAATAGCATTTAAAATTGTAGTGGGATTTTATAAATTTTCTTTATTATCAATACTCCAAAACTCTCAAATTTTATATACTATACATAATAATGGATTATTTTATATCAAAAACCAAACAATTCGAATCAAATACATATAATGCATTATTCGATTGGTATTCGTTTTTGAATAAGCCTATTGCAGAAGTGAATACTGGAGATAGTTTTGCACTTTATTTACACAGTCAATAGCGTATCCAGGATTTATCTATAAATGGGTTACAAAAAAAGTTTAAGGGGATTCACTTTCAAACTCCCATTTATCTGGTCTTCGTTTGGGTCCGACCTATAAGAAATTTTAATTCGGTATTTAAGCTTAAAAATTTTTCTATATCCCCGTGGTGTCTTTATTTTGTTTTACTAATATTTTGTATCTTTTTATCTCTCCATATAGAGACCGAACAATTGGAAGCATAATTCTTAACCCCAAATATTTTGTGATTTATTAGTCAGTGCTTTAACCAGTACAGTAGTCAGAATAAAAAAAATATTTTTTTATTAATTAAACAAATTTTTGGCCAATAAATCGCTCGAAATTATTTATTCTGAAGATTTTATCAATCACTTAATTAGTATATTATTTTAATTCAGCTGGTAGTATTGTAAAGGAAAAAATTTATATGCCAGAATAGGCCTTAATATTTAGTATCTTATTACTTCCTCAATCAGCTATGCGCTATAGGACCCTTTAAGTATGAAGTGAGCTAATTGGAAACTAATTCTGAAATTTAAATCTAACCATTAGGCAGTGCTCAATTATTACATTTTAGTGTTTTAATCTGTTTAGTAGATGGTAAGGAGAGGTTATTGGTAAAATAAGGAAAAATTAGCATCCTGTCAGAATGGCATATATAACAGTTCTAAATATCTCATTTGCCCCAATATTTACTGTTTTACTTATATTCTTCAATAGTTTTGCCAACCACATAAAAAGTAACCGAATTATAAGCATAATAAAAGACGTGAGTCAGCTAAATTGGCATTAATTCTGGAACTTATATCAATAATTAGTTCGTATTTAGTACACTGTGGTGCATTAATCTTTTTATAGATCTTAAAGAAAAAGGCAATGGCAAATAAAAAAATATGTCAAGATTGGTAATACCAGAACAAAAATAATAAAAGCACGAATATCTGGGATTACTCCAATATTTGCCTAATTAATACTTATTAATTTATCAGTTCGTTTTGCCATTCACTAACAGAAAGGGAGTTATAAACGAAATCAAAAATATAAGTCAAACATCTAATTGCCTCTTAATATCGAATTTTAAATCACGATTCAAAAATTAATTGCATTTATAAACATTAAGGTGCCTTTCCCGGATCCACATATTGAATCTTATGATTTTACGAACTTTATGGATATTATTTTTTCCTTTATGATATTTAGATATGAGTTAAATTTGACATTAAATTGAAATAGGTTAATAAATAATTAAAATCTCATTTCATTTTGAATGGAGTTATATTTCCAAAAGAATAAATCTGACAATAAGACGCAATGCTAAGCAAGAAATTTCTCAAACATTTGAAAGAACTTATTATAAATCTTAAGCAAATATGTATTATGCAATGCTAATTAGTAATGTTATAAAAGAGTTCTTTTTCTGATGATGAACGACGTTCCTTATATTTCTGACGATTGAACGTGAACGCGTTCCTTTTATATTACCAACGCCTTCGCTTTTTATGTAGAAAATCTAATTTTAATTAATTTGAAAATAAAAATGTTAATTTAATAGTAATCCAAATTTTTTAATAGGCTGTTTCCTATATCACATCTTTCCCTAACCAGCCACTATTTCTGTCCTATATTATAGTTTATTACTTGTATTATTTATAGATTAGCGTAAGCATGAATGTTAGTTATTATTATCATTTGATTCTGAATTAACATTGCCATGGCGTATAAAGTAACAGTAACATATATTCATTCAATTTACTAATTCTATCCTTACAAAATTTAAAATTTATCCAAAAAGTATAATATCAAGTTTCCTGTGGTTCTAACTTAAAGAGATACTTGATTGTAATATTCAGGCGCGTACGCAGCGGAGGTGGGGGAGGGGCAGGGGACAAATCCCCCCCCCCCCCCAAAGCCAAAAAATGCAGATGCCGGATTATATTTTTCAAAAACATTATTGTTAATAAATTTATATTTGTTAATATTAATTTATATTCGTTAATATTAATTTATATTTGTTAATATTAATTTATATTTGTTAATATTTATTTTTTATCTCATATATATTTAATTACATTTATTTATCACATTCATCTATTAAGTTATTTTATCAATTAATTTCTATTTCAAGTTTTCCTTGGCGTAATATTCAACTATTATATTCAAATATTAGTGGCGTAATATTTATCAATTTATATGTTATTGTTGAGTCAAAAGCAGAGTTATAAGTGTTTAATATTTGTCCCCCTCGACTTGCAAGTTGCAACAAGCAAGCTCATCGTCTAAACATTAATATAGGATATAGAAGAGTATTATAAAACAAATGCCCCATCTCTTAGATACATTTATAACCCAAATAAATGAATGGTTTTTAATTCACCATGCAGAACTTACCAATCTGCAGAACTTCCACAAAAGCCTTCCCAACCTTTTTCACATGCTGATAAAAAAATAAATATTTGTTAAATTTTTATTATGAAGATGTTAAAGTATCTTATGATGCCTTATTAGCTGAATAACTATGATTAAAAGATTAACTATGGTTGATATAGCCCCAAAAAATGCTATGGATGCTTTGCATTATTTCAAACACATTTTAGATTATATTCCCAATGTATTAAAATGGTTGTATATATATTAGCAACTCTTCCCATGTAAACTAATGAGAGAACATTCTCTTTTTTAAGAAGAATAACAGAGCCCTGCAGATGTACCATTTGCAGGGCACGGCCCAGATTTTTTTGAAAAATTTTTTTCGGCCAAGGTTTTCTTTAAAAAATTTTTTTAGGCCCAGCCCGGCTTTTTTGAAAATAAAATTTTCAGGCCCGGCCCAAATTTTTTTAAAATAAATTATATTTATTTTTGATTTTTATAGCTAATAATGGCGATTTCAAATATTTGGTTATACAGCTCGGTCCGGATATTTTTTAAAAAAAATTTTCAGGCCCAGCCCGGGTGTTTTTTTTTAAAAAAATTTCGGGCCCGACCCAGGTATGTTTAAAAAAATTAAAATACGGTCCGGCTCGGGGGCCGGGCCTGCAAGTCTTTGAAAAACATACCTATGAAATACAACTTCTGAAAGTAGATTGAATGATTTGGATCTTTTGAATATTCATAAACATTTAACGCCAAGCAAGGATAGATAATTGAAAAATTAGCTCAAAACATACAAAATACAATTATTCCTAAGAAACTTTTTATGTATTAATTTATATTTCCAACATTTAAATTTTTTATACTTTCTATATTTTAAAGGCTAAAAAATTCAAATTTCAATGGGTCATTTAAGTGATTCATATCGTGGTTATATTCACTTTATATTTTATAATTCACATTTATTTTATAATTTTTCAATGCCGGTTTATATATATAATTTTTTTGTAATTCACATTAATTTAAAATTGTGTATTAGAAAAGTTATTAGTCCAAATAAATTTATGCTTAGTATTTTTATTAACAATAATATTTCTTAAAAAATTTTATTATCCCCCCCCCCCCCAGACCAAATTCTTGCGTACGCGCCTGGTAATATATTTTATATAATATATTATAAGCATCCTGGTAATAATTTATTTTAGATTATTGTATTTTATAGGCTTAAGGTATATAAAGTAAAAATCATTAAATACAGTGTTGTGAAGATTTAATAGAAAACATTTCCATAATTTTTAATTCGTTTGTAAATAAAATTATTTAATTTGTAAAAATGATAAGAATAAACAAATGTTATTTTAACAATTTTTTCAAGTCAAATAATTTTATTTTTACAAATGAATTATAAAATATGGAATTTTCCATCAAATCTGGTCAACACTATAATATATATATTATATATATTAGCGGTAATGTGCTATTTTTTCAACTTTAAATCATTTTTTGAGCGCATTTTTTTAAATTTATAAATATAATTTTATCAAAAATGTATTCCAGCATGTTTAGAATACCTATATTAGGAATTGTAGATAATTTTAGCGTTAACTTTCGAGTCATTTATAATTTATGCGAAAAATCTATGGAAAAACTAAAATAAATTATATTGAGTCCCCCCCCCCCACTTAAGTTGGTGGCAAAATTGTCTGAAATTCATAGTAGTATTCATTTATTTTTAGTTTGATTATTTGAAATTTGTTTTTATCAAGGGTTTTATATTTTAATAGTTTATTTAGAGTATTATAAATTTATATTATTTATAAATAATTATATTTTATTATAAAAATTTTTAAAAATTATAAGGAATTTTTTTTTTAATAAATATAGATATTTTATTCACTTAAAACTATTAATTTTAAACATGGCTAATATATTGTCTTAAAAAATTAATTGTATTTATTTATTTATATTAAATAAAATTTAAAAAAATATATTCATAAAGTTTTGAGCGAACGTGAACGCGTTCATGAACTTGAATGCGTTCGATTTTTGACGATAAACGTTGAACGCTTTCGATTTTTTAAAAATGTTTGCAGCACTACTAATTAGTATATATTATAATTTAGTACTACAATCCGTTTCTCCTATTTCATCTAAATAATTAAAATTTTTAAAAATCCGTGGACGACCCTAATTCCACTGGTCTGAATTTGTCAAACTAATCGTTATCTAAAGAAATCAATAGAATTTACAATTTTTTGAAGAGTAAAATTTTGGTAAAATCGATAAGCCTGATTAACAAAACACGTCTAATTTTGAACACATCACATCAGTGGTCTGCAAATGGCAAAATTCTCCCGGCCCACCTCGGAGGGAATTTAGATTTTGCCGGGCTCATCCCTTAAATTTTTTTTGCTCGGCCCGGTTTCGATTTTTTTATTAAGGTTACTTGCTCCTGTTTTTTAGAAATACACACCATCGCACGGTATTTTTTAAATATAAGCCATAGACTGAAATATTTATAGTTGAACGCCAAAATAAACAATTATTTATCATATTGGGGAGTGGTTAAATTAAAAATACTATTCTTTATTTATCACTTCTATTGCATATCAGAATTCATCAATAAGTGTAATACATTACAAAATATGTCCTATTTCTGCCAATAATAATTTACCATATTTGAGATTGAATTAAAAATACCGGATAATAATTTATCATCATTAAAATTATAATCCAATATATTATATTATTTTAAAGTAATTGAACTTTAGAAATAATTTTTTTATATTCTCTAATCTCTATTAAGAGGGCCGGGCATCTCTACCTATTCTCCACCAGTCATTAGTTTTTTTGTCAAGCCCAAAAAAATTTTTATGGTCCAGGTAATTGGCTGAGTATTGCAGATCACTGCTTTACATATTAGTTTTAATTATAAATGTTTTTTTAGACGGAAATTTTGTTCAAATTGAATTATTTTTCACAATAAATGGTTCAAATAAGGGCTGGGTTAATTACCTTTGTTCGACGAAGAAAAGTTTTTTAAACTTATAAAATATTTATTATGAATTACACCGTTATTTAAAGATTATATTATTCATGTATTTTTTTAGGAGGGGGTAGGGGAGGGGGTTTGGTCTACACAAAAATGTATAAATTTTAAAAAAAATATCCCTTTCCTCTAAAACTAAAGGGAATAAATTTTATATGTAGCATATTCATACTTGTCAATCTTAAAAAAAAAATACCATAATGGTACAGATGCATATCTAAGATTTTGTTTAGCATGGTAGGAGAAGGGGGATATAATTTATATCACATATAGACATGACATTAGCATGCCTCTATTAATTTATAATATATAAATCTTAAATATGTTCTAGTAAAACTAATTTAAGTAAACTTATCTTTAAAATTTAGCATCACGTGAAATAATTTTTAAGGAGAAGGAGAAGTTACTTACCAAAATTTTCGGGTTTTTTTTCAAGATTTTTCCCCTGAAAGTTTTTTTTTATTTGTCTAATTATAATTTTTTATTTTTATGTATTAAATCAAGGTAACTATAAAAGATTCAGCCCTTACAATGCTTTCCAAGGAAGCAACTATAAGCCAGGAAAAATTGCCTTAGCAAGCTATTCCGGTTTATATGCCTACTCTGGATGGTATAAATATTTATATATTAATGGCAACATAAATATCATCCCAGGGGCTACAAATTGTTAAAAATATTTTCTAGCCAGGCTGAAGTTCAAATTTGTGTAATTTAACATTTTACCTTCATAAAATATTATAGAGGACAGGGTCGGACAAGTTGTAGAAAATATATTATATTTAACATGCCGGGCCAGGTAAAATAATTAATAGCTAGGCCTAAAAAACAGATAGATAATCTTTACGGGCTTCGACTACATATTATTTAATGTCGCCGGGCATTTTGACGGGTATTATGTCGAATTTATAAAAATTGTAAAATTATTCTTTTTGTATTTGGTATTGAATAATATGAAATAGCTTCGAACCGAACCTGGATTTACGAACTCAATGTGATTAACTATTTTTTTAAAGCCTATAGAAACCTTTTATCGAAAATTTTTAAAAATGAGTTAGATAATTATTTTAACTGATTTTGAATGTTTGTTACATTTAATTCCTATATACCATGTGGTTTAAAATTATATATATATTAATTTTAATTAAGTCATATTCCTAGATTAAATTTGACGATTAAAATTTCCATTATAAAAATAATCAATTTTTATAAAATTTTAATTAAAAATATTATCAGGAATTCTTTAAATTGCGTAACGGAAGAAGTCAAAAATCCCTACAAGTAACTTTTTTTTGTCATTTTAAACTTGGAAAGATGATAAATGCGAATGAGTACTTTTATAGTTTGCTATAGAATTTATCAAAATGACACTTTTTAGAGGATTTTGAAAAATATCACTAAGGATTTTAAAAATAAATAAATAACGACTACGTAAAAATATGGACGAGCTTTCCTTGACTAACAAAAGAAAATATAGATGACATAAAAAATGATATTTTATTTAATTATTGCCGAAAAAATGTATCACATTTGTTTAAAGTTTAACAAAAAAGTAACATCAAACTTTATATTTAGAATTCTCATTAAATACAATGATGTGATTGAAATAATTAATATATTTAAATTTTGCTTTGTTTTAAACAGAATTTAGTAAAATTGATATTCACATTATGCTGAAAATTTAATGGGACTAAATATATAAATTTTGCTATTTTTTTAATAAACTTTAGATAAAATAAATTATGCAACAAAAGATAACAATTTTTTTTCATTTGTGTATATTTTCTTTTGTCATTTATTAAGCGAACTCTATTTTTTATTTATTGGATAAAGTGTTTTTTAATTTACCTTTTCTCTAAATAAATATCACCATTTTGATAGATAAAATATCAAATGTTCTTTTATAATTTTAGCATTTGTCACCCATTGGAAACATAGGTTTACTAATTGTACATATAAAATGTCACTAACTGTAACTAGGGGATACTATCGTCTAGGCATACTAATAAATGTTTTATTTTTTACATAAGTATAAATATTTTGGTCGTGTGGCTTAGCACAATTTTGTCACTTCTAATGCTAACTGATTACTTAAGGTAAAATCTAAAATATGCATATTTTATAGAAACCTACCCAAATCACTATTCCTTTCCATCGTTATCGTAACACTAATTTTCGTAGCCACCAATATGGCATATATGAGTGTCCTATCTCCATATGAAATGATAAATTCTAATGTTGTGGCTATGGTAATTAATAAAATTTAAATTATAACATATTTAAATATTATGAAACATGACATGACAAAGCAAAAAAGCTTAAGTCTTGTCTCCGTCATTTTTCTTCTCCTGTGAACTTTTTTAGACTTTTAGCACGTTGGGCTACCAATGGGTCAGTAACAATTTATATAATTCAAAAGTCAAAGTTAGTGTTCTAAAATGATATAGTGAGGATAAGTAAATATTTTTTACCACTGATACTAACTTGTACAGGGGGTCTCTTGCGAAGGGAGTTAGGGGGCTTAGCCCCCCTCAATCAATTCCCTTTATTTATAGCCCCCATTCTAAATTTTTAAGGGCTGACCTCCGCCCCCGCCTAAGAATTTAAATATTTTTTAAAAGTGTTAAATTTGATACCCTTTTCTACTTATTATTGTTATAAAAATTAAAATTTTTATATAGTCAAATATCTTTTTCATATATTTTTTATAGTATAGAAAAAAAGGAGTGAAAAATTTTATTTTCATTATTTTTATAGAAATATTTATCAGTCGCCGCCGTTTCTGATATATATAAAGTATAGAGTAAGATTTACCCATAACAAGTAGTGCTGATAAATAGCTTTTTTAACAATTTTGCTAACTCTAAAATAAACCGAATTTCTAAGTGAAAACTATCATCTTACTTTCGATCGAGGTTTAAACTTAAAGATAATTCAATCTTAAAAAAATGAACTATTGCTTCAAGGCTTAGCTTCAACTTTTACGATTTACTCGATTTAACCATTTTTTTTATTTTAGAATTTTTTCCGATATATTCAAAAGAAATTGACCTAAATACCTAGATGCGAGATAAAAGATTCAAATTAAATGTATGATGGGCTTTGTCAATATATCGATGCCTAATGAAAAATTTAAACAAATTTGTGGATCATCCTATTGCCAAATATTAAAATGGCTTTCATCTTATAATTTTGTTCATTGCAAGATAAACAAATGTGTTTAAGAGTAAATAATTTTTCAAATTTAATGTTTATAAATATTAATAAACCTTCGATATCGGAAATGGATTCCAGATCGTATATCAAAGTATGGAAAAGGAATCATCGCAGGCAAATGAGATCTTTAAAAAATATAGCCCAAAGAAATGAAAGATTTATGGAAAATTTTTTAATCATATTTATTTATTTTTTAATTTGTATAGATATCGGTTAAATTAAATTTGTTACATTGTCCTTAAAATATAATTATAAATAAATAATTTACTCATATTCGTAATAAAAAAATAGATTATTTATATATCAGGATAATGTATAAAAAAACTTTAGCCCCCCCCCCCCAAGCACAAACAAGCAATAAACCACAGTAAGGTTTTGTTTTGGGACCAATAAGACATATATAAATTGAATAATTAATATTTAAACAAGTCTTTCATAGAAAAAAGCTTGGGATACGGTTATTCGATTGCCATATCAGTGTTCGTAGCTCTCACAATTTTTGGAAGCTTAAATGGTTCAATTTTGGTGTCCTCTAGGTATATATATCATATTTAATAATTTTATCAACTATTTTGTATTTGTATGCTATAAAATATATACAAATTAAATTTTACAAAAATTCTTTTGACTTTAATATTAAATCAATTTAAATATTTCATTTAGGAAGGCGAGATTCATCAACAATCTGAGATCGAGAGACCGGAGTTTAATGAGCCTGGGGATAAATTTATATATTTTTTTTCTAAAACTAAACTCTGATCGTTTATTTTTTTATATCAATTTTTTTTATTTAAATAAAAATATGCTAAAACTAAAACATTATAATGATAGTGAAAGTTTGGGTCTTCTTTATGGGGAGTTGAAACGAGACATATACCCGGATCAAAATTTAAAAAATATATTAATTAGAGGTCTGATTTCCCGACCCAGTCTGTTATAATTATTTTAAAATGCCCGAACCGTTCTATACTAATTTGACTAAAAGTCTGGCCCGGCCCGTTATTGTTTTACCAAATGTTCGCCCAGCATGTTAAAAATTTTTGTAAGAATTTTCCAAACATCATATTTTTAAAATCTATATCTATTTTTTTCCCAATGTCAATTAAGACTATTATATATCTCCTAGTATCTGTAATCTTTACTGTATTGTGCATTTGTTATATTATAAATAAGTTAATTTTTTGTGAATTTGCAATATAATTTATAGATATAGCATTTTTGTTAGACAGCTCTTAAAATACAAAGAAATAAAGCAGAAATTGTAATTTATTTTTAAATAGTATTCGTCAGAATATTAGCTTGAAATTCAAAAATATATATTAAAAATTTAATTCCCTAATGGCCTATTAAAATTTTACGAAAAATCATAGACTTTCGAGGCCCTCCCTGATATTTTATGTGTAAATTGTCCGGCCGGCCCGTTTAATATTTGCTGGCCGTGCTTCTGGACGGGCCAGGCATTGCCGATCTCTTATATATATAATATTTTTCAGAGACCTGCAGGCTGGGCCGGGCCGTATTTTAATTTTTTAAAATATACCGGGGCCTGGCCTGAAATTTTTTTTTAAAAAAATGCCCGGGCCGGGCCGTATATTTAAACCAAATATTTGAAATCGCCATTATTAGCTATAAAAATCAAAACTATATATAATAAGGAATAATAATAATTTATCATTATGACCACTTAAGCAATGACCACTTAATACCATTCTATTTATTTTATTATTAAATGGACCTTTATATATTGATAAATAAAACATTTACCGATTTAAGGATTCTATATATAAAATATTGAATGTAAAATATTTTCCAGATAATAAAAAAACGTGAAACACGATTTTGATTCAACAGGGTACTAAAAACTCTTTTTAAAAATATTTTTCTTGGATTAATCAATCACAAATGAACATAGGGAGAGCATTGATTATGACTATACATACTTAGTAAAATATTCAGAATAAATTAGTCGATAAGGTGTTAGAGATAAACGTTAGTAAACTTCTATAGGCATTTATCGCCGGTCTCTCTTACCTACCCTATAAAATTCCAGACAATTTTGGCATTAAATTTTGATTCAATTTAATAAATCAATTTTTCCATAAATTTTTATATATTAATTAAGATTAACCCAGAATTTTATGACAAAATTCCCTGGAATTCATAGGGTACGTATTGTACACATGATGGAACACAATTCAAGCAGTCTCTAAAAATTTTGGAAAAATGTGCGCTATCGATTATTTTAAAAATTCCAAATATTCTGAATTCATAAATACTCTATGATTAATATACTATAATTCTAAATTTTTAGGATATTTTTCGCGGCGGCACGGAACGGCCATTTTCCTCAATTATTTTCCATGATCAACGTTAATTTCTTGACTCCCACCGCTGCTTTATTTTTTATAGTAAAAATTATTTGTTACAGAAAAATATTGTTATTTATATCTTTATATTTGATTTAAAATTGGATAAGATTGACTAGACTAGGCACTGACTACTAATATCTAACAAATTGCATTTTGTCAAAAAATAATAATTTTTAATTATAATCTGACTTCTTACTTTTTTATTTTATTTTTTTCCATCTTTCATTTATAAGATAGTCCAAAAACCAATAATCTTAATATTTATAAATTAGTAACTGGAATTAAATGAATACATGTCGATAACATAATTCATAAATTTTAAAAAACATATAATCGATTACAGGGTGTTGTCACTAGCATATTTTGCCTGTCAGCCAATATTTTGACTCTGATAAATTATTATAGCTTTTCGGAAGCATTTTTCAGTTTATTAACGATTCTTGCTCTCATATACATGAGATATAAAAATCCGGACCTAGAGAGGCCATTTAAAGTATATAATTTTATTTTATTAATTATTTTTATTTGAGAAACTTAACTTTTCTAGCTATTATTTTTTAGAAATTTTTCAAAAACATATATCTAATTTGTTTTTGAAAAAAATCTTATCTTATTTAAAGAATAAGTAGATATTCGATCCCCGGTAAAAAATCTTGGTCAAATAAGAACATAATTTAAAACTACTCATGTTTTCCTCGTAGAGGGGCATTCATTAACTAAATAATACATTTAAGTTTAAAAGTTAAAACATTACAGTTCTTATAAATTGAGCGTTTTTAAAGCCTCGTTTATAGTAGCCACTATGATACAGCGATGCGATGAGTATTCCTAAGCGATATTACAGCAATTCGTCTCTTCGCATTGCTCAAAAACAACCATAGCCGAAAATAGTTTTGAAAAGTTAATTTTCTGATATAATAAAGCTAATTTTTTATTTTCAAAAAAAATATCAAGTTTAGAAAATAATTAAACCTTTAATTAAAAACCAAATTAAAAAATTTCAGGCTTTAAAATTTTGTAAAATTTATTATTAATTTTCTAAATTCAGATTGTTTACAAAAAAATTTTTTCAAATAATTGATAAACAGTCTTTCCATTTTTATAGTCGAAGTTTATAGATGATTATTAATTTAAGTTCGAAAAAGCTTCTTTCAGGCAACTTGAAAAAAAAATTTCTAATCCCCCTCCCCTTTTCCTAAAAATAATTTTTCTTGCCGCGTTGGACAAATGACAGTACGTGCATCCTACCTTGCTAAGGGTTCAGGTAGCAGGTTGACGTTAAAAAATTTAAATATTTGGCTTTTTTACCGAATAAAAAAGTGATTGGCCAATATTACAAAATTTTTGGGAGTATGAAATTGATATTTAAAATTTTTTAAATCCACGATGGGGATATGTAAATTTTTCTATATAATTTGGTTTTGGACTGTATAGCAAAAAAGTAACAAAATCATAGGGATTTGAAATAGGTGACAAATTTCATAATTTAGGGAAAATGCTAATTTTTAAACAACTTAGTTTATGGAGTACTGATTCTTTTTGCTTGACGAGGGTAAAAAGTTGAAATTTTAAAAAAATTAGCACTATCAATTTAAAACTATGACAAAATCTAACATAAAACTAAGCTGTTTATTATAAAAAAAATTTTCATGGATTTAAAAAAGTGCTGTAAAGTAACATCGTTACTTTTGTTTTACCCTTTTTGAGGCAAAGGAACGCCATTCGTTACTTCTTTCAAAAGGTAACGAGTAATGCATTTATTTTTTTATGTAGCAATAACGCAAAACGTTACTTCAAATTTTTCCTTAAAAAATATGTAGAAAATATTTTTTGTCTTATTAATATTTATAATTTTATAAATAATTTAAGCTGAGTTTTTAATTCAGATCAACCACCAAAGTTCTTCATTTTTATTTTCTTTATTACATTTTTCTTGTTAAATTTAACTTAAGATTGTTATTCTAATTATTATCGAATCAATCAAGGTTTGCTAATTTATATTCTCTAATATTATAATTTATTTTATTAAGAATATGACAATGGCACTTATTTTTTCAGTTGTATAATTTAACTCTTCCCTGACCCAAGTATGAATAATTACAAAAATAAGAAAATTAAGGAAACTAAGTCTACTTTTTGTGAGTGTAAATTGTGCTCTGATTCAAATATTCCACCCTGGATGTTCACCAGATCAAATCTAAAAAAAAAGCATGAAAGTAAAAATATGAATTCAGATTAAATTCTGATAAAAAAACAAAATTTGATAAGGATCTGAATGAAGATTCTTGTGAAGATGATCTAATAAGACTTTTTGACAATAAAGATCACTCTTTAAATATTTTTAATAAATTATCACAATTAAAAATTTTATTTATTAAATATAATAAAACCATCCCATCCTCTGCGTCAGTTGAACGTGTTTAGCCCAGCGAAAGCCATATTGAGCACCCGTTTATCTGGTCAAAATTTTAAAAATCAATTGTTAAAAATAATAATGAATTATTACAAAAATAAATTATAATATATTTGTATAATTTTATTTTTATTTTATAGGTGGAAAAATAAATAAAAGTAAAGAAAATTAATATACAATTTTTAGTATTTTTTTAAGTATCGATAAAAGCGTTACTTTTTTGAATAGCGAATAACGCGTTCCTTGCAAGATAACGAGTAACGTTAAGGCGTTCCTTTTTTGAAGTAACATTTACTACACTAATAAAATCAATTTCAAACTACTTTCTAAAAATCAAAATTGTTATAAAAAACAACATTTCTTAAGTGATAAAAGGGATACCATTATAGCCAAATAAAATATATAGGTAATTATTAGTAGTTTATTGGTGATTATAATTACAAACTAAACGATGTATTATTGGATATGGATAATATAAATTATCATAAAATCTTATTTTTCAATTAAATCGTAAACCAAACACTAATATTTAACTTAAGAAGTTACAGATTTAGATTCAAAAATATCATATATCGTAATTTTTTATAATATCCCTTTGTAGGCAAAATGCTTCAGGAGATACGGTCTGGAATTATTGAGAAAATATATATTGATAAGTCATGAGCTAATTTAATATTTTATCAAATGAAAAGCCAACTTTCAATCAAAAATTTGTTTAAAAAAATAAATAGTTGATATCAGTGAGTTCGAAAGAAATCACTCATTTCCTAAACGAATATTCTTATGCAAATAAAATCTTAAACCACATTTTAAAATTCTATTTTTTCTGACTGTTTTAGCTATTGTTATTTCCCAATTGGATGGCCAGATTCATTTGTCAAATTTAGGATATTCATTAAAACCATTAATTTAAAATAATCTTGATTATTAGTTTTGTGGTAATTGTTTAATATGTCCCAAAAATTTTAAAACTCTCCCTTTTCCTTTTTCTGATAGAGGCTAGTTCTTAATTTATATTATGATAAATATGGTTTAATTAACCTTCTTTTTCTGAGAAACCAAATTGTTTATAACAAAATATTACATAAATCAAATAAGCAACCCAATCATTTTTAAAATGTTTGGTTATTTGACAAAATTTTAAAAAGAGATTAATTATGTCTAAATTAGATTAGTTTATTATTTAAATATGGTTGTTTTTATAACCCACCATCCTAAAAATCAACATTATTATAATACTTTCTTCGACATATTATCCTATCTTCGATACCCTAAATATTTGTTTTTATAATACATCATCATTAATACTTTCATCCACCTATTTCTTATCCCATCTGCTAAACCATAAATATGTTCCAAATTTAAAAAACAATAAATCCGAAGTGGCAATTATACGTGGTTAATTTTATATCTTCAACCTGTTAAATTCCAAGCTACATCTGACCTGTTTATTAAAATTATATTTTCCGATGAAATAACAAAAAAATGAATGATTGTTAGCAAGACCATTTAATTTATAGTAAAACAATCAACAGCTTCAGTATAGTATTTTCATCATATGAAGTGTATTCCAAACTTATGAATTGTTTAGGAAAACTAGTTTTCTTTTAAGCAATTAAATTTAAATAACAATAGTACGTTAAAAGTTGCAATACACTGTGAAAGTTAGGCATAAAAATCGATCTTTTAATTTTAGCTTCTAGATTTTGGAAGATAATGATAATCCTCATAAAATTTTAAAAGAATATTATTTTTTTAAATTGTATTTAATTATGATAAAATTATTTTCATGGTAAATGCTAAAAAAACTGACGTTTCTGTTATTTTTACTAAATTTTAGAGATTTTTATTTTTCTGGACTGCAAACCCTTCACATAATGAGAACTCTTTTTTTAGGAGAGTTCACAGCCCTGAATTTAACAAACTAATTATTTTTTTTAGCATATTAAATAATTTTTCACTACATTGAGATTGGAATATACAAGTAACAATTGATTATGTCAAAAATTGAAACAATGAAATACAAAATAAATCAAGTATTTTTTTGTATCTTATAAATAATTATTACTAGTACAATTTAGTATTTTTTATATAAAAATTATTTGATTCTAAAATAATCTAAGTCTTTTTTCTTTATATTAAGCATTTTGATAAAATTTTGTTAAAAATATTGATTAATACTTAAAAAATTTTTAAAAAATCGGGATGATTTAGATTGTGATTCAAATCAAATTAATTTTTATTTACCAACCCTATACCTTTTTAATTTATTTTTAAATAAATTAACGTAATTCATAGGCAAATAATTTACAAATACTAAATTTGTAAATGGTGAATTTTATATTATAGTCTCTCTTAAGTATTTACTTCTTTATATTTATATTTTAAAATATCATCTTAAAATAAAATGATCATTATAAAGGTTAACATAATAGTTCCCATAGTTTTTGCCGTCATATATTTATTCCTTTTGACATTCCCGTTCACGACCGACCCGATGGTCTGCGCGATAGCCTCCACTATGATAATTTCAGGAATACCTGTATATTTTATCTTCAAATACCTTTCCATGTGGCCTAAGTTCTCGAATTTTAACGGTTAATTTTATATTATTTTAATATCAATCCATAATGTATAATGCACACTCTTATATAATTCTCACTACCTAGTATAAATTTGACTATGATTTAGAGTTTAATTTTATTCAAATCATCCAAAACATCAACATTGTTCTCTATAATGACCACTTCCCTAATGTGTCTAAATTTTACATTGTTATTATTTAAATTATAAGAAGTAAATAATGCACTTTATTTGTACCTCTTTTATTTAGGAATAATAACAGCATTTTTCCAAAAAATACTGAATTGTGCCAAAGAAGATGTTATGATCAATTAATTATTTACCAATCAAATATATTTTTGATATATAAATTGTATTTATGAATCTGATATTTTGGACTTATACTGCATTTTTATAATCAAATCTATTACTAATATTCTTAAATTTGATTTAAAATTATGGATAGAAATTTCATCAGGACAATTATAATTGTAGTATTTACATATTATATTGATATAAAATATATGGAGTATACAAGGTTCGATAATCAAAATAAATAACAATAATCACATAAGAAGCTAATATAAAAAGGTTTATATAATTGTAAACTTTATAATTTATTTATAAGTTGTTTGGCTAAAAAAAGGGAAGTATTGAAATTACATTAGATATCGTATACTTAATTTTACAAAAAATTATAATTGGATGTATAAAGGGAGTATATTATATCATATTAAAACGTTAAAAGAAGAGGAATATGAAAAATATAAGTGGATAGAATTGTAGACAGTGTTATTCTTAAACACTAGATTAATTCGATAATTAAATTTCTGATTTTACCTAATATAATTATGAGCTAGAGTCTATATATGGCAAGGGTCAGTTTAGTTTATTCAATGTTCAAATTAGACTAATACAACATAATATGCAATTTTTATTTATAAATTTAAAAAATCATAATATACAATTTAATTTATTTGTCTTAATAATAAAATAATTTAAGGTAATACATTCTTCTTGGATTAATTAAGTTATAGCAATGTCCAAAATAAATAAAATATTTTTGAAATCTATATTTAACATATAAAAAAATAAACATATAAATCAAATTTAAAATAATATATTTATTTATATTGCGGTGGTATTGGAGGTGGTGCCGGCCCAGATTGAGAAAGAGGGGTGGCAGAAGAATGATGCTGAATTTCTTGCAAAACTTGATTTCTTGCTCTAAATTCCAGGGCTCTGATCTGTTCAAGGTGAAAGTTTTGTCTTTCCTGCAATAATTGTTGCCTTTGATATTCAAGCTATTTTATCAAAAAATATACATCATGAAGCATCCAAAAAACAAGTATATATTAACCTTTAATTTCATTATTAGACTATTAATAATTTACATTTCAAAAAGTAATGATAGGCAAGTTAGTTTCTAGATTACATGTATATATAGATTTACAGAAGATAATGTTATCATGAAAACAATAACGTGTATACATTTTTGCAATAGCCTAAAAACATCATCGAAAATTATAGTTCTCATTTGCCATGCTGCATAGTGTGTTATGCAGATAATCTTACATTCAGACATTTTTTTCTCCATCAAGAAAACAACATTAAATTCAAAAAATATCGATTGTGAAAAAAAATTTGAAGCAGAATTATTAAATTTTATTTTCTTTAATGATTTTTAACTAATACTACAGTAAATATTTATCCTTGTTTTATGATTTTTAACAAATTTTAGAAGATCACATATTTTCGGAAATATTTACGGTACAAGATAAACCCCAATTTTGCTTTGATTTATTCAAAGATGACCGCAATATTGCAAATGTAAGATAATTCGCGAAATTCTATTGTCAAGTGGTTTGTTAATGTATTATCATTCTGTATAACACATTTGTGGTAATGTTTTTGCCATTTGCTTTAAATATTTTCTAAAATATATAAGCGAGATTCCTTATTTTTCGTGATTTTTGTTATAGCTATTTAGAACCTATCCCAAAAATAATAACAGCACCATTAAACCAATTTGACCTAAAATTGTATTAATTCGCGGTAATGTTTACAAATAAAAGTTCCTTGAAAAAGTAAGCAGACCTTGAATAACCTTAGGTCGAATATTAATTATTATAATAGTGTATTAAATAATAGGTCAAGTTTTCATGTACCAGGTCCAATAAGTATCTGGTATATCTCACATAAATACGATAAAAACTTGCTAAACCTAAAGTAATTGTAAGTCATGAATTGCTAAAAAAACGATAATCAGTAAATTAATCTAAATTAATTAGGTGCTAACTTTTAATATAAGTCGTACCAGTTTTCATTTCAAATATGAACTATATAAATAATATTGAGCCAGTGAAAAAAACTTGTTCCTTTTCTTTATCCATGATGGCTTCTAATTCTTCGAAATGTCTCAGTTTTATCTCCAATTTTTTCATTTGAGTTTCAACTAAGAGGGCAACTAAAGATTTTATCTTCCTTTCTTCGACACTGGCTAAATGCTGGAAGAGAAGCAAAAACATTCGATTAATTAATAAAACTCAAAAATAATATTTTGCAAAAATTATTTTTTTGTATTAAAATTCTATTTAAGAAAAGTAAAAAAAACTAAACATAGAACTATACACTTAGCGCATAAGGTTATGTCTTCGCGGGCAATTAAAAAAATGGGCGTATACACGCATTTTATAAAAACAATGCTTTTTTATTAATGGGCGTAAAAAGATGAGGGAATATAGCCAAGTCACTCACGTCTGTTTAAATGCGCTAATATGCGCATTTTTAATTGCTAGCAAAGACAGGATAACTTGCAATTTCTCTATAAATTAATAAAACGCAAGTTTAAAATTTTGGACTCGCTTTCAATTTTCATATAAAACTGAAGGATTGATTCTTTTTACGTTTATTTCTTCCTCCCCTTTCAATAAAATAGTATGTAATTTATTAAAACTTTAGCTTTCACTGCTGCAGCGCTCAAAGCAACAGCCGCGCTGGATTGAATATCTGCATCAGTAATAGTCGTTTTATCTTCTTCTGCATGAAGTGGTACCGTTTTTATCGTGAGGTTTGAATCAGGTATATTTACTAATTGCCTAGCTGTTAAAGGTAGGAGAGAAGTTAAATTCTAGTTATAGTATAGCATTTTGTGGCCAACTAATTTTCTGAAAAGGTTTCTGCTTATTTGATATGAAAATTTATATAAAAAAATATACATACGATATTCTGAAGATGTCTCTACAGATTCTTGGTTAGCTATTAAATATGCATCACGAGTTGAAGTGTCTGATGAAATAGATTGGTTAGAACTAACGATTGTAGGATTAATCTTTTTTTAAAAAATCAATAGAATTTATTATGATTGCATATAAATGTAAAGTAATAGATATTATATCGTAAATATTATTAATATGTTAATTTGTTTAAATCAAATAAAATTATCGAATTTAATAAACTTTTGCTTATGAAAATAAAATACATAAAAAGTTAAACTTATTCAATTAATTTTTTTAAGATTCTTTAAAAAATATATTTATTAAGTTTATTCCAATTTTCGTAAAAGATAGTTTTAAAAATTTTAATACAAAATACCACAGCTATATGGCGTTTTTTGGTTCTGTCACCACCCATGGCAACTAGGCCGGCTTCATCTACCTCATTGCCCTGGCTAACACTACTGGTGGTTATTTCCGAATTATTGTTTTCTTTTAATTTAGATATAATATTCAAGACAAATTTTAAAGTTTTGGAGAAAAAATCAAAGTGTTGACCAGATTTGATGGAAAACATTTCCATATTTTTTAATTTATTTAAAAATAAAATTATTTAACTTGTAAAAATTACTTAAAATAACAAATTATATCTGCATTCGAAATCTTAACACATTTTATATTAGTCGATGTCTCAAATTTTGGAAATTATGTCGTTATGTTTGTGATGATTAATAAGAAAATAAGAGCATGCATGATGAATAAATAGGTATGTGTATGTTTATAAACTTTCTTCGCTATTCGTTTCTTCAGACTTAACCAAGGGGGTTGTGAACCTTTCCGTCAACATTTCGATATCGCATTGACTCTGGGTTTCTGTTCCGGCTATACCTATTATAGCAGTGAATTATTCTTTAAAATTAATTTTAATAAGTGCTCTATGAACGTTACTATAAGTAGTGTTAATAAACGGCTCGATTTGAGGCGATTTTTAAAAATGGCTAACTCAATATTTTAGTCAGAAATGACTAAAAGCTCGAGATTTCGTGAATATGACCTAAATCTTCAGGCTTGGGTAATATTATTCTGGATAAAATATTGAGTTAGCCGTTTTTAAAAATCGGCTCAAATCGAGCCATTTAACAACACTAACTATAAGAATCGAACTAGCTTTCCTTTAGAAATTAAAAAGTAACGCATTTATTTTAATTTTAACAAGAATTGACAGTCTATGAGGTTATAAAAAATATGGGATTATAAAGGAATATAAAAATTAAGAATCCATTTTCAAAAAATAAATTACCGCTAGTTTCTAAAAGACTTTTCGATATAGTTTCTAACGATAAACCGCTATTTGAAGCTTGCAAGGTAGCAGCGGATAAAGTTTCTCGGTATTTAATTTTGATTTGTTGGGCATGGCAATCTACCATTGCCTTAGGGACCTCGTCTTTTATCTTAGAAAATTCTTCTATAAAAAATAATTAATACAGATATGCGATAAAGATATAATAAAATAACATTCAACTTTAGATATTACCTAAGGCTGCTTTAGCTGCGGATGCAGCAACTCTGGGATCTATGACGGATGCAAGAAATGCAACCACCGACATCACTGGGTTACCGGATTGGCTGAACGGGAATGGTTGATAAGCTAACGGACCTAAAAGAGAAATATAAATTTATGCATATTATTTTTCCGGGATAGTATGGCAAACTACTAGCTTATTTGTTAATATTCACCAAATGCATAAAAACCTAATATCTCGGACCCATCTGTTTCGTTTTTTTCCCCAGACAGGTATGGGTCCTCAAGAGGTAACTGTAAAAATTTGAGTACGCACTCTTCCTGAGTTCGGCCCCCACCCACATGCTCGCATATTCGGTTCCAATCGTCTTTATACATTTCAAGGCCCTCTAAAAGTGACAGGATCTCTTGTTGGCTCCATTCGTTAACAGAACTTGCAGCATTTGTGGTCGTACCAGCTGTTACATTCGATGAGAGGGGAAGGGAGTTAGATGAAATGTCGGAGGTCATAGTCTTTGCATTTTATTGATTAGTTCGTTTATATTAAAAATGTAAGTTACCTTGTCATAATTTGAAAAATTTAGTTATTGAACAATGAGATAAAAACCAGAAAATTTAAATAGAATAGATATAATATAATTATGGAAGAGCATTGGATTTATAATTGTTATAATAAATTGAGTAATTGCCATTTTTTTGGTCAATTGCTTGTTTAAATTACTTTTCCGGCTTGATTCAATTTTTTGGGTAAATATTGATCCATTTTAAGTCCAAAATTTGAGATTTGGGATAATTTGCCGCCGCCCAAAACAAGATTATTCTGTTTTAAAATTATATAAGTCATAAATATTCAAAAACAATGCGATTGTAAAATTTATTCATATCGTTTACTAATTATATAAACAAATAGGAAATTAAATACTGTCCAATATCAATTTCTAAGCAATAATTATTTATATACAAATAAGACATTTTTGTCTACTTGAGTAGAAAGGCCAGAGGCTAAACTAACTCCTAAGGAACTAAGAATATTAGGCTCTCCTACTCCAGGTTCATTACCAGTTTTGCTAGCATTAGAAGGAGTGGGATTATTATTGACTAATAAACCAGTGGGGGTTTCGGCTAGAACGTGAAAATGAGCCGTAGATGGAGGCCCTAGGCTATAGGGTTTGAAGGTTGTAAGAGAAGAGTTGGAACTCGGGTCGAAATCGGAACCGGCTTGATGATTAATAAGGCCCCATTGTTCTAGGAAGGCGAACACTCTGATAAATGCAAAGTGAAAAAGTAAATATCTATATTTTATGATAGAAACCTTGGTTTTATTTATCTCTCTTAAATTTTCACTTTTTTCTATTTACATAACAATTTATTTTATTTCTAATGTTATTCTGTTTATTTATATGCGTTATATTTATATATATCATAATTCATAAAATTACGTGTTTTTGTTGTAATAAGACACAAGAATTTAAGAGAAAAAAATTTGAAGAGAGATTTTTGATAAAATTTTATCATGAAATGCCAAAATCATGTTTAAAAAATCTCTTGTAATTTTGCATAAAAAATCTTTCAATATTAAATCAAATATTTTAAAAGGTTTTTTTCAAACTCTGGCACGAATTGAGCTTTTGTGTTTTGCAGTACTTTTTAAATAAAATAACATAACAGATGAGGATTTTTAAATTTATAAAAAAAATGAGTATGTTAGTTTGGAACAAAAAAAATGCTAGCCTCACGAAAAGGTAATGAAAAAAGCAAGTCATTTTATTTTTTTAAAATAGTTTCTAGCGTGAACAGTAATTTTTCAATTTACACATTATCATTTAAATGCATTATTGTGTTTGCATCAGTAGAGTTTGAAACGCTCAATTTGTGTTCATTATAAGAAAATCTGCATGAAAAATAAAATAATTTCTATTGTGTTGACTATTTTTCATCTCTTTTTAATTTAATCTTTACACAATAAAAAGATATCTATTAAAACGACCGTGTAATTTATATATAAACCTTAGAAATTCGCATCACTCGAGTTTTTTTAACTAATGGAATTCCGAATCATTACCATAGCAGAAATTGGTATCTTTATATGACACAATAATATATAAAAGCCACTCCATATATTATTATGAATGCAATTTGATTAATTTATAGCATTTTGTTTTAAAGAGGGTGTTGAATTTTTATTTGGGAATATTATGAAACACTCATTCTTAAAATAAAATGCTAATATCAAATGTAAATATTTTCATTAGATATTTTTTAATATAAAGGCCAATCACTCCATAAACATCAAATACTTAATATTTGAATCAAATGCCCATTAATTTAACCATTCAAGATGACTACAAAAAGGCATAGCTGAGTTTTTTATGTCGACTTTGCAAAATTTTCAATAATTTTAATTTATTACAGTTGGGTAATGGCTAGAAATTGGCTAATTAGGCTTAATCTATATAGTAAAGCATTAGTTTATTTATTTTTTCAGTTTTTAAAGTTGAACTATACTTTTAAAAAAAGTTTATTAAATTTAGTCTAGCCGGTTAAAAATAGAGCAATTACGAACCTATATAATATATTTTTTTATTATAAAGGTGAATAAGCAAGAGACACAAAAATCAAAATGATATAAATAACTACCCTTCGAAATCAAATATAGAAATGTTAATTTACTTAAACTAAGGTTTAAAGTTCTAATCTTCAATTATAATAACATTATTTTTTGTTAAAGAAGCCCATTATAACCTCAAGTTTTAATTTTACAAGTAAGGTACATCATATAGAAATAAATTAATACAATGATAAAATAATTCAATTTAAAAAAGTCTAAAAAACTCATTTCTTAAGTATCTCAATCCATCTGTCGGTAAAATGTATAGAATTAATGTATCGCCCCAGCCTTGGCGAATGCTATGGTATATACGAGTTTGAAAGATAATTTTTGGAAATATTCTGCCTTAAGCTTAAAAATAATATTTCGACTATATTAGGAAGGAATTAGTTTTATACTAACAAACACTAAGTTTATTATTATTATTGTAGTACCATCAAAATTGTTTAGATGTATATGTTATTGGAAAAAATTATATTCTATATAAATTTTATTTGTATATTTTTATATAAAATCACCAGCTCTAAGACTTTCTGCTATCTTTCTCACTTGTAAATAATATTCGTTTTGTTCACAATCTTAATTTATGGATTCTTTTAAATTCAATAATCTCCTTTTTTGAGCAATAAAAGGGAAGCTTTGTAAGAAGTTTGCCATAAGTCGTCCATGGCTTGGTAGTAAAATATTTTTTGATCCATATTTTATTCCCTATATGATATGCATTAAATTTAAATATTCAGCAATAACAGATAATTTAATGTTTATCTATTTTATTTTATTTATTGCAAAATATGATATAAAAATGAATAATGGAATATGCTTTAAATTTTAGCATTCTTATTTTTGCATTTAGGGATAAAATTTTAAATAAGAAAAACAAATTGTAAGCTTGAAAGAATATTTTATATTATCTTTTATTATAATATTTAAAGTGAAAGAGAATGTAATAAAATCAGTTTCATAACCAAATTTTAAATTCTACTCAAATATTATGAGGTAAAAGCACATCGATTATAATTAATGATCCCAATTCCAAAAGATATTTAAAATATTTCAGTGGTAAAAAAAGGTAGGAATTCCTAATCTCAAAGAATTCAGTAAAAAAATATTTTTAAACATTAAAAGATTTAGAAAATAGGTGAAAAGAAGAGCAAGTAGAGAATAAGTTTGAGTTCTCAAAATAAATTTGATAGTTATTAGTATGCTCTTGAACTTCCCTAACAAGGCGACTTGATAAAAATGGAAGTAAAGATATGTAGATACCTTAAAATAGAACAAACATCGCCCGTAAGGTTACGTCTGCATGCCGTGAATGTGAGGTACTCAAAGGGATTAAGTCTATACGTGTCTATCATAAAATTTCTATAGGCTATGTATATTTCTGGAGTCTTCGATTTGTTTATCCCGTTAAAAAACTCGGGGAGGGCTCTTTTTTCGACTCTGTTTATTCTAAATATAAAAAAAATTAATAAAAAAGGATATATACAAATTTGTAGTAGGAATGAATTCCTTCGAATATCTTCGTTATAAATCACTAATTATTAACCCTTAACTATATATTGTGTTATGTATTGTTTTACTCCTCAAATAATTAAAATTGTGTTTTAATCATATTGGGGAGAACAAGAAAACTTGATTATACATTACAAAAATTTTAAACTTCGATGTCATCACTTTCTTATCCTGAATTCTATAAATCAGCCCCTCCTTGCCAGTTAACCAAAATGCAACGGAAACTCAATAAATTTAAATTGCAAAAAATAAAGCATATAAAATCAAAAGGTCCAACACCCCTTACATTTCTAAAAATTTTACTTCATAATTATAGAGGTTTTAATAATTAATGGATAAAAAAAACTAAGGCTCATTCAACAATCTTTTATAATTGATGGTTATGATAGAGTGGAAGCCATTTATGTAAAAATAACCAAGCATTTAGTAAAATCAATATCAAACTAAAAAAACGGATAATATATATAACAAAATTTTAGTATCAAAATAAAAATCTAACCTAAACTTATAATATTAATATATCTTAATTTAAATCTTTATTGTACATATTTCCGCCATATTTTTCGAGACAAACTTTAAGCGTAATCTCAAGTAATCTCTCAAACATTGGGTACATTAGAAAATTTATCTTTAATATTTTTTACGAGTTATAATCGAACCAAGCAGAGTAGCTAGGAATTATAATGTGATAGGTTTGTTCTGCACTCGAAGTGTTATTGCATGATGAGCTATTATTTGTAGTAGTTACATTCGTAGAGTCTGTAAAATAATAAAAATTTATAAAGAAAATTTTAGAACTAAATATGACATTTTTACTTAATATTTCTTTGCATATACTTTCCTTCACCATTTGCATTTTTTGACATTATTATTTGCAGAAAAATATGTTAGTTCAAATGTTGTTAAAAGGGCTCGGTTTTTAAAAATGGCCAACCCAATATTTTAGTCAAAAAATATTACACAAGCCTGGAAATTTTGCTCATAGATGACAGAAAGGTTTGGACATCTATTAATGAAATCCTGAAGCTTGCATAATATAAAATTTTAATTTAAAATTGGCAAAAAAAGCCGTTTAACAACACTAAAGCAGAGTTGGTAAGCTGGTCAATTTGACAGAACGTATATTTGACCAGTCATATAATTATTATATATTTTTTTTAATGAACCTGTTTATCAATGAGATGTTTATAAAGGCTGTATTCACAAGCAATTTACTGTTGTCAAAAATCCATATATAAAAGGGTTCTTTAAAAGTAACTAACCCACTCTTAATTAGTTATGGGGCCTCTTTTAGATATAACTTTTGCAAAAATTGCGAAATTATTGTCAAGATTCAAATATATAATTTTTTTATTCTTATTTTTGGTTTAACCTATTTTTGTATTTTTATGTAGAAGATTATATAATTTTATAACATATATATAGATAGAAAGAAGATTATATTTTAACTTCTTTATATATATTTTTCATTTTGTAAATGGATTTGACTTTATAATAAAATTAGTAACGAGTCTTAACCCCAAATTAACAATTATACATTAAGTTTCCCATTTATCTATTGTTTCAGGTGGGTGGAGCAAGAAATTTAAAAATATAATAGAAAAATTAAATTCTACAAAAGTAATTCTTTAGTCACGGTAAATGCGGTTAATATGAAAACTTTAAGAATTTTATATTCCTTAGCCTAACCATATTCATTATTATAAAAGTGCCGCAACACACATTACAATTATTTACTCGGAATCTTGAACAAATGAAGTTATTAATTCACATCGATCTTAAATAAATTGTTAAATCTTAGTGTAGAATTTCCCGATAACATGTCATATTATCTACTTTAAGTACAATTAGTTTAACGAGGTGGCTTCTTCAATAAAATGCATGCACAAAAAAGCTTCAAGAGTGTTCATCTTCGAAGAAGCTTGAGAAATAGTAATCATATCTTAGACGAAGAACAATTTTGGAAAAAAATTTGTTTTTATATATTTAAACCGCTAATGTGAGAATTCAAGAGAACATATGCCCTTGTCCCAAGTAAAAATGAAATGTTATCTTTATAAAGAACATATTATTATCGTGACAAGGCTAATATTTTCTACATCAGAATAAAAAAAATTATAAACATGTTTGAAATAAAAAAAAAGATCTAAATGCAACTTCTCATAATGATGACTACTTGTAAGATCCCCAATATCAAGGACAACATCTCATGAATAATGAATTCCGCGAAACTTGTGATATGATAAAAGAACTAGGAATTCTACAAGGTGTGGTGATAATCAAGCCATCTTAGGTGATATAATAAATTTTTGCTGTAAAAGCGGTATCTATGTTAACAATATATGTGTGCGTAGAATACATAACCATTAATCAGATTTCGGCATCAAACTGGTAGAAAGAACTTTGTACCTAGCCCTTTAAAGGAAGTAGCAAATATCTTGTTAACCCTTCCAAGTTCAACTTCTTCCTTAGAAAGAAATTGGTCTATCTGTGTAATATTCATACAAAGAAACGAAATCGATTGAAAACTTTGATTATGGAAAAATTAGTTAGCGTTTTATAATGATTAATTGAAAACAATAGAATATGTTTATTCAATTGAACAAACGACTCTGCCACAGAAAGTTAAAACGAAACAATATTTCAAGAATGAATCAAAATATTACCAAATTTTTAATAATGTGCAATTATTTATGAGTATATTTTATATATTTGTTATTACATATACCGCCTAATAAGCTTAGGCGAGATTTTTAACCGATTATTCAATATAATAATGTCATAAAAACATTTAATTGAATATAACACAAATATCGGTCAAATGACATAATTCTATTTGATCAAACATATATCCATCCCTGGTTCAAAATATTAAGATAGGTAGGATAAGAAAAAAATCAAGTAAATTGAAACGTCTAATTAATCCGATATTAAGCAGGTGATTAAAATTTCAAGAAGGCAAAAATAAGTCTTATATTTAAAAAAAACCTAATTTAGATATAGGAATTTCTTTGGTCTTGGTTATAGTAGCCTCTGGGTCCTTCTTATCAAGGGCAATATCTTGATTACTGTTAGAATCCATGGAATCATTGTTGATGTTGGATAAATCTTCCTCCCTAAGTCTCTTCTTGGTGGGAATGCTAGATGGAAAATTAGAAGATAAAGAGCTCGTGGAAGGGTTGTTATGGTGGGAGCTGATGATTTTTTTAATGTTAAGAAAGATATATTACATGTTTGCATAAATTTAAAGGTTTGTATTTTATATTTTATATTCATATAAAATAAGTCATATGATATACATACTATTAACTGTTATATACTCATAAAATCTATTTCATTACTAATTAAATTCAATTTTGATTTAGAAATATGTGTACTTAGAAATCATACTTATTCATATTGGGCTGGATGAACTTCAATTCATATTTTTTCTTATATCCTGTTAGGAAGATAATTTACTGTATCACTAGATGATTTTTTTTAAATTCATGGTAAATTAAATTTATTCTAGACCTCAATTATAATTAGTCTTCAATGATTGATTTGGAAAAAAAATTAAAAAACAAAATATATTTTTTACACAATTCAAACTAAAAACTACATTTTAAAATAGGGCCAAGATTTCGATTATTTTGGATTTTCCCAGCCAACATAAATTTATAATTATTCTAACAACACCTTTTTCGTTTGAGGGATGATACATTGCCAGAAGATTTTTTATCAGCATTGTTACTCGTTGTAACATTACTTCCGCTATTTAAAACTCCTAAAATAGTTTTGTTTATCAAATTGTGGCTATGATTCAATGAGGCGGTAAGCTGTCCAAAATCAAGTCCCTTGAACCTATCTTTTCGCAATTTATCAGCCTTGGCCGAGATAGAACGAGCGTTGGTTATAGCTTCGTTGAATTGGACGTGATGCTTCATATATTTGGTGGTTAAAAGCTTTTGCGATTTATATTTTAATATAAAAGGGATTTAGTTAAAAGAAGAGTTAAGTATTACTTTTGTTTTGAATTGTAATTAACTTGCATATATAATCAACTAGTCACTAAATCCGAATTTATATCTTATAAAAAAGTATATAAATTTGAAACCGTTTAAATGTGAAGCTTTGGAGAAAAAGACACGATTTCTTTTGCATTTATTCGTGATTTATATTATTCTTATAAGTTTAAATTTATTCATATAAATAATTTTTACCTTTCAAGAAAAACTTTTGAACTTCAAATTCAATATTCTCATTTCTATTATTTTATGTTTATATATAATTGGGCCTTTGGTTTTCTTCATTTACTAAACACATTTTTATCTTTCTATCAATTTAGTATTCTTCAATAATTACAATGCTCAATCATCCAAATCCCTAAAAAAAACTTAGGCATCATCAGGAACGAGGTAAGACATGAATTCAAAATCACGTTAAAAACCAAATTACTCTTTAAATTGCTAATGACTCATCAAAGAATTTTGCTTTGATAAACATTTATAATTTTTGAGCGTATGTATCACCAATAATTATAATTTTAAGCTCAGGAATCAACCGTAATAAATATCTCCAGTTCAGATATAAATAATGGTTCATGATTCAGGTTCGGTTCGCAAAAATAACAATATCGGTTCGATTTGAACCTATAAAAAGGTTTAAACTTTTTTATATATAAGCTTATAAGAATTATGTAAAGAAAAGGATTTCTTTTTAAATTTTATCAATATTCTCTAAAAATTAATATTGAACCATACACAATTAAAATATTTTCAAAATTTTCTTCTGTCAAATTTATATCTGTAAGGAAGAAGAACAAATTTTATGACTGAGAACACTTCTATATGCTAGACATGGGTTGCTGGCACCGTCAAATAGCAATATACAAAACTATCCAAAAATAATTAAGGAATTATCAGTCAAAACTAATTATTAATAATCGTTAAGAGTTAAAATATCAAAAGGTTTAACCTCCACATGCATTTTTAAAGCGATTTAGATTCAGACGATAATTTTTTAACGGTTCAAATTCGGTTTAGGTTCAGAAAATAATAATGATTAATATCAGTCTAAATGTTCGGTTCAGGTTCAGTTTGAACCTCTGGTTATGCTACGTTTAAATTATAATCATTATGGCATTCTAAGTATAATTTCTCTTTTTATTTATCGATTAGAAATTAACCGATATTGTTCAACATTATATGAATATAAAATGGACCTTAAAACCTTAGAATTTATAAGATAATTAACATTCTTCAATATCTTCAAATGGGTTAGCATTTAGGAATATTGAATTTAACCGATTTGCATTAATTGTAGTAACGTCATTCATAGTATAAAAAAGTGCATTCGTTGGTTTTAAAACAAAGGACATATACAAACAGGCGCGTCGTTAGACTTTTTAAGGAGAGGAGGGAGGCTAATATATTTTTAAATATATATCTATAAAAATTTCTCAATAATTTTTTTTAAATTACAATATAATTATAATTAATACTAGCTAATAACCCGTCAAGAATGACGGGGTTGAGGGGTAATTAGTTAGTTTGTGTTTATGGTACTAAATATACTTTATTAATATATTTTATGAAAATATCAAAATTTAGGAGAAAAAGAGGTAAATTTATGAATCACATCTCATAAGATATTCTTAATTTCTGATTCATCTATCATCGAAGAAGGGAAAAGTATGATGACCCGTCTTTCTTGATGGGCTAAATAAAAATATAATGTTCCCGTCAGTCGGCATTGCTGAGCCCGTCAAAAATGACGGGGAATGAGAATTTTATCATACTTTTATGATAGTTTTTACCTGTTATTTGAAAATAATATCCAATTTTTATTCTTTATAACCCCCTCCTCCTTTCAAGCCAGGTCCAATCCATTAAAACTAAGTGTAAATGCTATGTTTTGAGGCAAAATATATTTAAAGCTTTTACTTGATACCCATATATATTATTTGTTAAAATATTACTTATCATCTATGCCTAATATTTAATATTAAAAAAATTCCCAAGCAAGGTCCAAGGCCATAATAATTTTGAAAAAGCCCACCCAAAGATCATAAAGTTGAGAACTGGAATAAAATATTTAAAAAATCCGAATAAATTTAAAAATATATTCAAAATCAGATTTTATGGGCCTTGATTTTATCAAGCCGAGCTCAGGCTTGCAAAAAAAATTTGTTTCAAGTCAATGTCTGATCCATAGTTAATAATAAAAAATTCCCAAGCGTCTAAACTGATAATAATTTTGAAAAATTTTTCCCAAGCCCAGCTCAATATAATTCATAAAAATATTTTCCAAGCCCAGCCCAAACCATTATAATTTTAAAAAAATTTTCTCAAACCTGGCCAACTGATAATAATTTTGAAAGTTTTTTTCCAAGTCTGGAGCTAAGTAAATCTCCAAAAACCATATCTATTTTTTATTCTTTTTAATCCCGCTCAATCCTACTTCAGACCAAGGTCAACCCATTAAGTCTAAGAGTGAATACTATTTTTTGAGTAATAATTTATTTAAATTAGCTTTTACCTGAGACCCATATAAATATTCTGTGTTAAATATTAAGCCTAATATTTATTATTAAAAAAATTCCCAAGCCAGTTCATGCACATAATAATGTTGGGAAAATTTTCTCAAGCCAGCCAAAGACCATAATAATTTTGGTTGAGAACTGAAATAAAATATATAAAAGTTATAATTCATTTAAAAATACAATCACATGGACCTTGATTTTTGATCAGCTGCAAAATAAAATTTTCAGGCCAATGTCAAGCCCATATTTAAAATTAAAAAATTTTCAAGCATCTCTATTTTAAATTTTACCCAATATGATTTCTATCACAAATTTAAATTTTATTCTAAATATAAAATTAAATTTAAGACATTGTTATTAAATTACAATAGAAATAAATGGCAAAATTTAAAGTTGTATGGGACTTGGTTTTTTTGATCAGGCCTGGCTATGTCTGCAAAAAAAAATTTCAGGCCTATGTCCAGCCGGTTAATGATAGATCAAGTCAATGTATAAGGATTTTCTAAATACCAATACCAACCTAATTTGCTAAATACAGACCAAAATTTATTAAAATTTAATACGACCCTTATTATTTAACATATTAGAATGGAATCACGTGGTCCGGAATCCTTTATATCATTCCCCAAAGGAAGGAACGATCAAATTGGGTTAAGGAAAAAAACATGGTCTTTGCTGGGATTCGAACCCAAAACCATCGGGCGAGGTTCTTACCGATAAGGTCCAGACGCTTTTCAAAATTCACGATATTTTGAATATATATTATAAATAAATTTAATAGTACCTATTCAAATAAAAAATAAACAAAATACAAATTTGATAAAACACTTAAGGCAATACCTATCATTAACCTGTCTAGCCCAAACTGAAAACAATAAACGCCCTTAAAACGAATAAAAAATAGACATGGTTTTTAGAGATTTACCTATCTCCTGGCTTGGGAAAAAATTTTCAAAATTATTATGTGAAAAAAATATGGTATACGGCAAAATTTTAAAAATATCAGCTAATTAATTCAATTCAATATGGTAAAAACGGGAAAATTTTAAAAATAGCTATTAATTAATATATATAATTAATATTTTAAATTTAATTATAATTCAAGTTGGAGAATGCTTAAAATGAACACGTTTGAAAAAGAGGTTTGTGGTTCGATACAGGTAGATAGCCAAAAGTTAACATTACACTATATAGTCTCCTTAAATTTTAATAAGAAGATACGAAAACGATCGTGTTTTGATTATGGAGATTATATATATTAGATAAACTTCATTAAAATTTTGGATCATGTACTATTTATATTGGAGCAATATGGCAGGGTGGATATTAAAAATAACTATATAGAATATTTAAAAGTTGATATAAAAACGTATATGCGATAGGGTTGGCAATATCGAGTTTTTTTAAAGTTATTTAATTTTGAACGAGCTTTTTACCAGGATCTTATTCTGTCGTGTAAATGTATATGTGAAGAGTGTTGTGAATATTAAACAATTCTGCCGTAAATTTTTGGTTTTTTTTTAATTTATAGCTATTCCACCTTTTTTTATCACATAGTGCCTTTTTAAAACATAATAATGTTCATTTACAAAACTAATTATGTTCAGAGTAGTCACTTTGATATTGCTAAATGACACCATGTATTTGCAAAAAAGCATGTGATTAAAAAAGTCTATAAAAATTAAAATAATTTAAGAGAAGTTCCTTCAAAGGTTTAAGGCAAAATCCACAGAGTAAGAAATCTTTCACAATAAAAAATGGGCTTTATAAATGATCTAAAATTTCCTAAAACCCTAGGACACCTCATTCATATTCTAGTTTGCTTCTCATAACAATATTATTATCCATTATTTAGTATTATTATGCGATTTTAAGAATTTATTAAAAAAAAAAATTATAACCCTATTTAATATAAAAATTTTAACTATTTTATTATAAATTTATTTATAAGTTTTAAATTTCAATAGATAATATTGTAAAAGTTAATATTGAGAGATGGTTTTCAACACTCAAATATATTAACATCACCGCACAAATACAAACAATAACTTTTTAGATAATGTCTTAATTTATATTGTAAGACATTTTAAAGCTGAAAAGGATTGTTAATACGAACAAGATATGATAGGAATCGTTGTTATCTTTAGGCATATATATATTATGTTTTGCCGAAGGCCAATTTTTTTAAAAAAATCTATCTAAATAAAATATATTTTAACAAATGGGTGTTAATTTTTATTTTTCAAAATTGGGTGCTATAGTAGCACTATAAGGATTTAATGTGTGTAAAATATTTGTGAAGGGGGTGGGGATAAAATAATAAAACTGAAAAGTAAATAAATTTTGTAAAAAATTATTTAATATGAAAATATTAAATTACTTCGCCAGAGAATACTATCCGTTTCAAAGTCTTTTCTTCATTATCCTCTAAAGTCGCCTTAATCAAAATAAAACATGTACTTATATTTAATTGAAAAAGGTTGAGTTAAATCTTTTAAAGTGTTGTTTGGCCATCGAAATGAGTGACAAAAATTCATTCAATAATCATGTTAAAAAAAATTGAATATCCTGACTAGTTTGGTTAAAATACTTGATTTAGCCAATTTTAGATTTTATCCAAAATAAAATAACGCAAGCCTCGAGATTTCGTTAATTAGAAAAAACCTTCCGCCATCTGTGAGTAAAATTTTCAGGCTTGGGTAAAATATTTTGGCTAAAATATTGGCATCGTTTTTTAAAAATCGAACCGTTCAACATTAATCTTGAATAAATTTATTCCTTAAATAAATAAGAATAATCTTATCGATATTATAAAATTTATAATAGTTCTAAAATAATTTCCTTCCTTTTTAACGAATTATAAAACATCGACTATTATATCATATCAATTAATCATTACTAATAAAATATATTTTAAATCATAATAAATATATAGAAAAGTAATTTTTGAAATTCGATGTTTCACTTGGAACAAAAAATAAATCAAACTTTTTCTGGTATAGCATAATCAATTTCGGACATCCACTCGTTAAATATGTCGAGATCAAAGAGCCACAAACAAGACAAATGCCATTTCTTATTTGTTTGATTTTGATCTATTGGCTCGATATCGATTTCAATATCGTAGAGCCATTGATCATAACTAGATATCATATATAAAAATTAATGTTGGGGTAATAAGGTATATAATCAATCAACTAATTGAATTATATTATTAGCAGAAAACTAAAGAAACAATTCCAAAAATGAGGGTAAAATATATATAAATAGATTTTTTTTCAACAACTCACTCCATTATTGGTATTTGATTGATTATATATAAATATTAAATAGAAAATAAATAAGGAAAAACCTTTCTGGACTGCGCATCCAATGTACGAGTATATCCTTTTTCTTCTTTGACAAAATTCTCAACTTCATATCATCTTAAGGTTAAAGACATTATAAAATATATTCATTTATAATTGAACCAAGTTCACAACTTTCAATATATATTTTTTTTAAATATACAAAGCTTTCAGTTTTACTAAAAAGTGTGCACAAGCCAACCATTAGCCAGTTTCCTGTTTTTGGAGTGCCATGAAGAATAGGCTGACTGACAATTAATTGCATAATTCTGTGGGATTTTGGGAAACTTTATAAGAATTCCAAAAATATGACAATTTTTATAGAAAATTGGCTCCTATTTAATATTTAGCAAAACCTATTTTAATAAGATATTAATTAATAGGGTCATTCCATGTCAAATCAATTACTTTACAACCCGACCATCTCAGATTTTGCTAAATTTTGGTATGTAAGTTAATGAAGTGTCTTAATTGAAGAATCCAAAATATTAGCCCCTTACTCTACTAGAACCGGAGATATAGGGTCTCAAAGTGGTTTAAAATAGGGATAACTTTAATATTCGATGCACTATATATATATGTATCTATCATAGCTCATTAGCCGTAAGTAAACTCTTCCACGTAATTTAAATAAAATTAATTTTTAATTTATAAAATTTTTTTAAATTGCGGTCAAAAATTTGTTATTAATTTTTTTTTCCATATTTGATATTTTGTAAAGAGTACCAATAACTGTTCATATAAAAAATTTTCAGAGTGGTAAAAGATAGGTTAAGTAGGAAAAATGCTTAGATGGTTTTAATAATTTTAGATAGCTTTAAACTTAATTTTTGAAAATAAAAGTCAATCTACCTTTTTTTTATATACCATAATATAATATTTGTTAAATAAAATCGCATTTTGGCACAAAAATAAAATTTCCGCTAGATAGCGCAAGTATTAAATTAATTATCGATTTTTCGATTCATTTCCCGAATAAATTTATCGATTTTTAAAATTAATAAAATCCCTCTAATATTGTTACATATGTACTATATTAACTTTTCTTTTTATTATTACTTTGTATTTAAAGAATCAATTTATATTACTTTTAAAATGTTAATATGAGTTTGCTGCTATGTTCTATAACCGTAATTGATTTACATTTTATAAAAAAAGATATATTTTTTATTATATATAAAGCTCATGAGAAGATTATTTTTTCATGGTAACAGATTTTATTTTTACTTAAGTGATAAAATAAAGAAATCTTCGCTTGATAAATTAAATCCTTATATTTAAATTGAGCTAAATCCCTATTACTAATATCCATTCTACAAAACAATTCCTCGCAATACAGACTACCAATATTTTATTCTTCTTTAAATATAAATAAACATTTATCAAAGAAGAGATTACAGTAAGTCGCTGGATGACAGAATTTGTCAAAATCAATATTGGTAATTATAGCGGTATTATTTTCCTGGTAAATTGGAATACCCTCTATTTTATATTTAATAAAGTTAAGCGGCATGCAACACTTCAAATGAATTTTTAAAATCCACCATAGAAGTAGAAAATGATACTCCAATTAATAACGATAACGCTCAACTCCCTATAGCTTTCTTCGAAAAAGTAATGTACTAAGCAAAAGCTTGCAAGAACAAAGGGTATAGAAAATTCTACAACCAGCGATGAAGATAAATAATAGCAACGATTTGATAATTCAAAATAGTTATGTATGCTCCAATTTGGAGGTAATGTCGTTAATAATATATACTTCTGTGTTTTAAATAAGAATTGATAATCCTCCGAATTGAAGCATACATAACTATTTTCCATATTTTGAATTATCAAATCGTTGCTATTATCTCCTGCTGGCGTTGCTATTATTTATCTCCATCGCTGGTTGAAGAATTGCAAGCTTTTGCTTAGGATATTATTTTTCTTTTAATTCCTTTTTTTTGGAGATTGTCCAATATCTAATAACGTTGAATTTAAGGATTCAAAACAAGATATAAGGAGTGTGTGTTATCGTTATTAATTGGAGTATCATTTTCTACTTCTATGGTGGATTTTAAGAATTCATTGGAAGTTGTAGCGGTATTGTTTCCCTGGTAAATTGGAATACCCCTATTCTTATATATATATTAAGCGGCATGCAACACAGATATAATCGCCAATATTGATTTTGGCAAATTCTGTCATCCTGCAACTTACTGTAATCTCTTCTTTGATAAATGTTTTTTCATATGAAAGATTTTTACATATCATGATATTCAAATTTGAATAATAAATTTATTGGAAAATATACGAAAAATCTATAATTAATTTAAATCATAATTAGCTATTATTTTATTTTTGTGCCAAAATGTGATTTTATTCAACAAATATTATATTATGGTATATAAATAAAAGTTAATAAAATTAAGCCCTAAGTTATTAGAAATATTAACGCTATCTAGCGGAATTTTTATTTTAAGCATTTTTCTTACTTAACTTTTATTTTTATTATTCTGAAAATTTTTATATGAACAGTTCTTGGTACTCTTTACAAAATATCTTTGAGAAAAAAATTTATACTAACATTTAAAAAAATTAAATTTGTGACAGCAATTTTAAAAAAATTTATAAATTAAAAATTAATTTTATTTAAAATACGTGGAAGAGTTTACTTAGGGCTATAAAATGAGCCATGATAGATAAATATACTACATTTAATATTAAAGTTATCCCAATTTTAAAAAATCATTTTTTTCGAAAAATGTATTTTGGATTCTTCGATTAAGACACTTCATTAACTTACATATACCAAATTTTAGCAAAATCTGAGATGGCAGGGTTGTAAAGTCATTGATTTGATATGGAATGACCCAATAGTAAGATTATGTTATGCAATCAGGAGGGGAAATAATATGGTTTTTTAAATCTTACGAACGTTTATTTCTATAAATACAAATATGATTACCAAAAATCGCATATTTCCCCAAAATAAGAAACAAGTAGGGAAACTTTATGCCTGAAAGAATTATTTTAAATTCGTTTTTTTAAATATCATAAGTACGATTATATGATGTTTGAATTTTTTTTTTTTAAATATCCGAAAAAATAGTTTTTTTTTAAAAAAAAATGAAAATATTCGTTCTTCGATTTATAAAAAATACAATATTATCTATATTTATACGAATAATGCATCATTATTCAGTGAAGGATCATACGCAGGAACTCGCTATGGGATAATTATACAAAATTTTTAAAATTATTCTAGAAGTTATTTAAGAGTAATTATTATGGCATGTATTATAAAACTTACATAGTAAAGAAAAAAATATGGTGTATAAAAAATGCGAAAAAAGTATAATTAAGAAGCATATTAAAATTTATAATGTAAAATTTAATTTTCTTTGGGATTGAGCTAATTTTTTAATGATTTCAACAGTGTTTGTATTACTTCTCAGTAGCGTTGTTACACGTCTCTATTTGAGACGATTAAAACGGCTAACTAAATATTTTATCCAGAAAAATATTACGCAAGCTTGAAGATTTTCCTTATATGGGACAAAGGTTTGGACATCTTAGGGAAATCTCAAGGTTCCCGTTCTAACTCGTTAAAACAAAAATCGCGAAAAATTGGGAATCTCATTGGGAGCAATGATAATATTTCCTCCAAAAAAACTCAATTTAAATACAAGTGTTTACTTCTCTATCTAATTTCAATTTTACTTTTAAAATTTTCTGGTAGATATATGCGAGATTCTCAATTTTAAGTGATACCTATCCCAGTCTCGAGGCTTAAACATTCTTTTTCTGACTAAATATTGAATTAACCATTTTAAATAGATTCAAATCTACTTCTCAAGTATGCTTTTAATCTTATTAGAGAAGAAAATGTTCTTTCATTGGTAGAAATACTAATGGGTAGTCTTAAATAATATTGTTTAGATGAACATGTTAATGCAACTAGTCAAATCACAGAATATACCGACATGTGTAAGATATAATATAACAAACATTTCTATTTAATATTTGTCAAAATTTTAGATACTATTGGCAGCAGAGGTTTATTTACTAATGAATCAGAAGAGCCAGATTGCAACAGTAAAAATTATTCACTATATTTCATTAAAAGCATTAGATTTAACAATTATTGAGCCTTTCATGTTCTTTTGCCACAAGTTGAATAACGTAGAAGTAAGATATAAAAATGATATTTATAAATTTATAATCAATTTTTAACTGTAGAGATGAACAGAGCTGTAGCATGATTTTGTGAATATTTTTTATAAAGAATATTCTGATTGCAACTGAATATTAACTGCATGAAGTGATTTTCTACATGGGAAACGAATCCCAAATATGCTTCTGCCATTTCATACTCTAAAAATTATTTTAAAATTTTAGGACAGCTTTTATGATCTTTATTTAAGAAGTATTTTTTTAAGGGTTTGTAAAATTTTAAAATTCTATCGATGGCAGGAATGACACACATAATAGGTATATATCGCAACAACTCACACCATTCCAAGTCAGACCACTTCACCAACTCTTTTAATTCATTAAATCTTTTAGTTGATGACTAAATTCGTTAAAACATTTTATCACAATTATTTAAACATCCACAGATAGTATATTTATTGCCTTCTTGCAAGAATTATGTAGTATATGGCATATACAGCCAATTGGTATTTCATTATTGTGCTGCCTCAATTCGGTAACTTTGATTTTTGCCAAAATTTACAGAGGCATTATCAGCGCAGAAAGCTGACATGCAAATCATTGATAACCCTGAATCAGCTATATATACCATTACCATTATGTGGCTAGCTACATTGTTGGATTTTTCACTATCCGAGGAGAAAATTTTAACAGTTTTATTGAAATGTTCTTATTCTTGTTGAAATATCGAAGGATCGATGGGAAATGTTTTAATATTTCCCTTATTAGATGCATCTGTTAGAATAACGTCAAGAATTGACCTCTAGGATTCAGGTACTAAAACAATTGTGATAGCCTTGCTCATTTTTGTTCTGCCACAAGTAAGGTTTGAACTTATATAGGAGTCGTTAAGTATCATGAGAAAAAGGTTCGACCCACATTGT